GGGCCCAAAGCTTATGCCGCCTTCCCAAGATCTCCCTTGCTCATCGGTGACTGTGAGTGATGAGTGTCTACTCTACTGGTGTCAGTAGCGACCTTGTAACTTCTAGCAAGCACAACGTGTACTCTTCTTTCAGTAGATTCCTCTTGCTTATCCGTGAGTGACGCGCACAATTACCAATATTGGGATTTTCTCTGTGTTGCCTGACATAATGTTTATGCCAAGGCCAATTTCTGACGACCTTCAAACCTGTTTCTAGTTGCCACTTGCCTGGAACATTCTTTTTTCAAGGCGGAACGCTTTTTTTTAAGTGAACCTCTAATCTTAGATTTCCACTCTGCTCCCCAGCACCAGCAGTCCCCAGACTGGTGCTGGGGACTGCTCCCCATTGCTGCAATTGTGGTGGTGAGCACACAGTTAGCTATGGAGGGTGCAAATTCATAAAGGAGGCCCAAGAGGTTGAGAAAGTCTGAGCTCAGCAGGGATTTTCCTATGGGGATGCCCTGAGGGCTTTGTGCTAAAAATAATGTAGCAAATGCAATATCTACCAAAAACCCCAACAGATATGTGCCACAAACAGCTCTGATGCTGGTTGCCTCAAATGAGCCCAGAACCTGGGCTCAAAAAGTCAAGTCACAACATCATCAAGCCATTCAATTAGTAAGCATTGGTACCCAGACTCAGGATGATCTTACTCCTTCCGCCATGCAAAGCATAACTATAAACAGATTCAATGAACTTATGTGCAAAATCATTTCTCTCTACAAACACTCAGACAACTAAGATATTGTTAAAACTGTCACTGACCTAACCAAGGAAACCTTGAACCATGTCAGCCCAGCCTGCCCAGGTATTATATGCTCTGATGTTCCTACTAGTGCGGGGGTTATTCTCCAGCCTCATCCCAGCATCAGATTGGCTCAGGGCTCTTCCAGTGATCCTGGTGAGGGGGAAACTCCCACGGTAGTGGATGCAGAAATGACCATAGATTTTCCTGAGCCATCTCCAATTATTGGCAAATGTACTGCCAGGGCATCCCATCAGCCTTCTAACCGTGGAGGTAACCAGGGATCAAGCTAAGGCAAGAGCAAACGTCAAAGCACAGATGTCAGCTTACTGGGTACTAAAAATAAAGCAAACTCATCCAAAAAATGTCCCCCATCCCAGAACTAAAGATTTTACAGTGGAATTGTCACAGCAATAGTAATAAGCTTAGCAACTTTAAATTGCATATTTACACCAGCAATCCCCATGTTATCTGCTTGTCTGAAACCTAGCTCACACAGAACTATGAACCTAACTTCATCAATAATAGTGCAATTTACAAACACAGAGGAGCTCCACAGGCTGGGAGAGGTCTTGCTGTTCTTGTCCAGAGTGACATCACATTCCTTGAGCTGGCTATTCAACCTTTCCCTGGGGGTGCCCTGGAAGTCCAAGGCATAAAGGTCTTTCTGAAGAACAATTCCTCTCTTTCCATCCTGAATATTTATAACCCTAACCAACCAATCACTCTTAATGAACTTCAGCACTATTTTCAACAACTGGGTTTTCAGCCATTGTTGTGGGAGATTTCAATGCTCAGCACCCCCTATGGGAGCAAATAAAGGCACCAAACACTACTGGTAGGAACTTAATGGACCTCGTGTTCCAGTATCCAATGCTGGCTCTGCTCACACCTCCAGACCTTCCCACATATTTTAATGTCTACCTCAACTCCTTTTCCACCCTTGATCTGACCATAATTTCAACAAATCTGCAGCCACTTTTCTCCATCTGTACTGGCTCTGATATGGGCAGCGATCACTATCCAGTCATCACCTCTGTTGGAGTGGAGCCTACCTCCACTCAGTTCAGGCGCCGACCTGCTTGGCAGTTTGATGCTGGATCCTGGGCAGCTCGGTACTCTGCCCTGCCTCAGGCTAGCACTGATGTCTCGCCCAACCTTACTGAAGTCGCTCAGAAATTTGCAAGAAATATAGTCTGCTAGCACAAAGGCATTCCAACAAACCGCAGAATATGTCACCCAAGTACAATAAGGTTTGGTGGACGCAGGCCTGTGATGATGCAGTTTGGTCAAGTAGAGCAGCAAAGAAACTGCTCATTTCTCAGCCATCACAGGAAAATCTGATTAACTTTAAGTGTTGTCAGGCCAGAGTCTGGTGGGAGGTGAGAATGGCAAAGAAGGCCTCATGGAAAAGTTTCTGCAACACTATAACCTCTGACACTCCAACTGCCATACTGTGGAATTGGGTAAGGATATTACAGAATTCTTTCACTCGCTAATCACAACCATTTCTGATGCCTCATTTGACCCTTTCTGACCCTATTTCCAAGGTGGCTGCCCTGGCAGATCATTTTGAGCAGGTTCTCTCCTCCCCAACTCCAACTCCTTATCCTAATTTTGTTGTCCTTCCCCTGTCTCTTGCTTTGAGTACCACTGACCTCCAAACTCCCCTCAATGCTCCATTTACATTGTATGAGCTAGAAACTTATCTGACCTCCCTTAAAAATTCTTCCCCAGGTCTGGACCATGTACACAACAAACACCTTTCTCTTCTCCCTCCTGAATATAAATCATGGTTGCTGAAAATATTCAATGAAAGCTTCACATCAGGGACAGTCCCACATGAGTGGAAGAATAAAACATGCCAACACCTTGTAGAAACATACAAGAAGCGTCTGTCTGCTATCATTGTGGCCAAGGGAGGTCACACAAAGTATTTATTTAGAGTTGCCAACAATATATATGGTTTTTTTAAATGCTGCCATTACTTTTGCTTAACAACAATTTAGTTCTCAAATTAAATATTTTTAAGCATGTTGCCAATAAATATGCATGTAACTGTAGGTGTGGCACTTGATGCCCCACAGCTACAATGGGAACCGCACATCTATACCCTGAAATTAAATTGTATTCCAATTGAAAGCATACTGCAGTCTAACATGCACTCTAACTCATGTGAACAGTGGGGAGCAGACCCCACTTAGTTGATAAAGTTGTACAAGAATCTGTTAAAAATTCATTGGACTATAGAGTGGCCTTCTATGCATCTGCAGCACCAACAAATCTTGCAGAACTAAATGTGGCCTTCTATGCATCAAAATATAACAAATTTCTATTCTATAATATAACAAATTTTTCTTCTATAACAAATCTTGCAGAACTAAATGTGATACAAAGAATTGTTTGCATAGCTCTTGGCTGCCATGAATAACCCCAGTCTCTACTATGGAGGTGAAGGCTAACATTTTCCCATTTATCTGGCCACTGCATAAAACTAATGTGCAAGTACTACCTCAACCTCATACAGTTGCCCAGCATCTAGTTGTGTCTGATCTGTTTTCTCAGATGTACCTCCTATCATACTGCAGAAGGTAATCAGGCCCAAGACCAGGCTTGGGCCTGGTCTTGGGTAACCTGCTTGGTTACCACACCCTTACTACCAGCTCAAAAGAGGAAATAGTGAAATTGTTGGATGATAGAGTTCAGGCTAGGTGGAATCAACTGTGGATGGATAAGGGAAGTGCATCAGGGAGGGACCACTTCATCACTTTGATTAGAGAGTAGAATATGGGCCCTGGGCCTCTCATTGTAACCATTCCATTGAGAGAGCTTCGGCTAGGCTCCATACTGGGCATGCTGGTGGCAAGAGCTCATTTGGCCATTTTAATCTTGTAAATAGCCCTTTGTGCTAATGTGGGTCTCCTGAGATCATTGAATAGTTACTGTTACATTGCTCTCTGCACCAGCATGCTCAGGCAAACTTAACTAAACAGTGTTAATGTTCCTGTAACTCTGTAAAATATGTTTGGAGGTGGCCCCTATTCCTGCTCAACCCAGAATTTAATGATTGATGCTGTAGGTGCATTTTTGCTAGCCATAGACGTTTTTTATATCTTGTGAATAATGGTTCCTTATCTCATAATCTTATTATCCACAGATCTCATAACTTGAACTGGCCACTAAAACCTTGGATACTAACACTGTTGGCGTATTCACTTTTTTATCAGCATTATTGCTCCCTTTCAGCATTATTGCTCCCTTTCAGCATTATTGCTCAAATGCTCCCTTTGGGATAAGCACTACCAGTCTATGCAGCTCTTTATGACCAGCATATTAATTATTAGGGTCAGTTTGATGGGACCAGTATATCATTAGGATCGGTATTTATTCTCAATTTCTGTACCAAGACTGCCTTTGTAAAGACTGTTACTGCTTGCTTGCAAATTAGTTTATAATTCTTGCTCCTTCAGAGAAAAGCCCACAGCTTTCTGATGATTGACTTCACTAACACTGATGATTCACTAACACTGTCATGGGGGTGCATTGAACAAGTCTTCAGAGGCCCTCACTAACTTTTAACAGAAAAAAAACCTTGTCCGCAAGTAGCAGACAATTTTTCTCACAGACCTGCAAGCCTATAGTGCCTGAATTACATGAAATAAAATTTGACTCAATATGAGGATCAAGCATGACCAGTGGGTATGACCTATGGCTTACAACTTAGCTGGCTTTATCCAGAGTAACCCTGATGTCCGTGCATTATGGTCAGATGTCTGTGCATGTTTCATGCACTTCAAATAAGAAGTTTCTATAAGTCTGTCTTTTCCAGCTCCTGCTATAAGTAGCACTACCTAAATGATGCATTTATGCATTGTTGCTATATGCAAATTTTTGTAAGCTTAACTGACATGCATGAATTGCTAAAATTTGTCAATAAACATGAAATAATTTTGCATAAATTGGCACAAATTAGCTCCATCTTGGTCCGCTTTCTAGTCTACTTTTCTAATGCACTTCTCTGCTACCATGATGCACACATTCATACTTCCATTATTTTATAATTGCCTTTAATTGAAAAATTAATTGATATGATTTAGGAACAATGATGCATTTTAAAATGGATAAAAAAAACTGATGCATTTTCATGCTAGAAAAAGCCTGTTATATATTGTTATGACTTTTGTATAGGTGTTATTTCTAATAGGTTAAATGAAATAAAATTAACATGTGTTTGATTGAATTTTTCATAGAAGAATTTTTCATCTGTATTAGACATTTAACTCATTTAGTTTGAAAAGTTAGTTGCAACAGTTAAGAAATTCAAAAAATTTTTGAAGAACTTGTCAAAAACATGAGTATGTCAATGTCTGGAGATCGAGAAATATTACGGCGGGTGTGGGAGGGCCGGGTGGCCACATGCATCAAGCTTGCCGAGGAAGATCTCAGCTCATATGGTGAACCTGACCCGCACTACCTCATGCTTCCTCGCATCTCATACTTCCCACTAGTTCTGGAAAAAGTGAGTGCTTAAATTATTAACTAGAGACCAATAAAATTTTTTTGAATAGTAGAAAATATATTTGAACCCTTCAGCAAGAACTTGGGAAGTTCTGTGTTCTGTGAACATTGTTCATACACTCATGTTCTTTATAAATTTTAACCTCTTATTACTAATTATTTGCCCGATTTGAAGTGTTATTGATAAAATGTTTTGGTGCAACTTTTTCTTACAGGTACGAAAGTCATTTCAAAGGCATGTTTCTCCTGAATTTCGAGATCATGAGGTTTGGCTTGAGTTTGATGGGATTCCCTTGAAAATGTAAGTTACTGTAAGTTTATATATTGCTTTATCTTTATAACTCTTCACTGATCCAATTCTTGATTTTTAAAAATATACTGCCAAAAGGCACTCTGTTGGGTGTTTTTTAATCCACTTTTGAACAGACATATGTTCATTGTTTCAAATGCCCAGTTATCAATGCAGAAAAAAATATGTATGAATCCCAAATTTTCCTTATAGTGAAGGCTGTTATGAAAATGTAATTCTCAATTCTCAAGGTGACTGTGATGGTAATGCATAATTCTTTTATCAGTCAATAACCTGCTACACAAACTGAACAATCTCATGATGATATGGCTGCTAGGGATTAATGAAGGTCAAGTAAACTACAATTTTTTTGCCTTGTTCTGCACAATATTTCTGTTTATGATAATTGAAACAAAATTGTACCTTGCTTAGTATGACATGTCTACCTTGCCTGGCAGGCAGTACCCCATAGGCGTTCTTTGTGATGTACTCAACACTGAAGGTCAGGCCCCATGGATGTTACGTCTCCACTTCTCCAGCCCTCCTGCTTCTCTAATTAGCTTGCCTAGTAGGTAAGTCTTACCTTATTATTGCCAATTCTGTGCATAGCTGGGGCTATACTAATAAAACTTGCTCAAGTAATTGTAGTGACTAAAGTGCTCCAAGGAGCCCAGTACAATTGGCAGCTGGTGTTTAGTCTGTGGTTGATGTTTGGTTTGAAAATCAATCAGTAATTGACTGATGGAAGTTACAAACTCATAAATATTTCTGATAGTTTGGCTCCAGGTTAGATCTGAATCTATTTTGTCTCTGGCAATCACATGATAATTTTATTCCTGGAAAGGAGAATAAAGCTACAGAAAGTTTTGGCTATACCAGATAATATTTGGTGTCTCAAGTACAATGGCATTGATGGATTTTGTGAAAGATGTGGAATTAGCAGAATAATATCTTGGTTTTTCTCTGTTTGTTTATGTGAGCTCTGTTTTATTGTGTTTCTGTTTCAAAAGCTGGTACAATACCTGCCAATCTGGGGCTGGATTATTAAAACATTGCTGTGTACATGAAGCCACTTACGGTATGTGTTGGGTAAGTGCTGCTATGAAGATGTAACTCTAGCGTTGGTATTATCAAAACATTTGCGCGGGAAGCTAGGTACAAGAATTTGTGCATAACTGTACACTTGCTTGGAGGTGTTGAGGGTAGTTATGTACAAATTTTGAATGGGTGAAGCAATTGGAAATCATTTTGTTATTAGTGTCTAGACTATACTAGTTTCTAGACTCTAGTATCATACTAATGTATAGACTCTAGTATCATTTAAAGGTAAGTCCTCTAAATTTTATTTTGAAAAATATTTTTTCTATAACTAAGGAATTGTATTAGTAATGCATCTAATGAATTTTTTCTCAGTACATGACAATAGAAAAGATGTAGCGGTTTGATCAACTAGGGTTCCACCAAACTTATGTGGATATGAGCCCACTCACCCCAAGATACTACCCTACTCAAGATGATTAGACTGAATTTGGCACAATGAAAACAGGTTATTACAAAATGTCATTTTACTTAGAACTAAGGACCTAAACTCTAACAACAGTTATCGGATCATCCCCAGGTATCAAAACATATCCTTCACAGGTTTATTTAGGCCACCCTATAGTGTAAGTCTTGGTTATGGAATTATGGCACTTGGCTTGACAATTTCACAGTGCAACTGGTACAATTGATACGCAAACTACCGCATCAGAAAAACACATCCTGATGCACAGATCAATAATCATGTATTGCTTGAGGGCAATGTAGTTGTGGTCTTTTAGACTCCCACAAGCATGCACAGGCAATCACCCCAGGCACACACACCCCAGAGTATTCACCTGTCTAGTAGCAGGGGTGCCAAGAAGTCACTGACCACTATGGATACCAGATGGAACACCACCCAGAGAACCAGAGACCTCATGGGCACCAGTAAATTGCAGGATACTCACTATGTCTTCTAGTGAGCAAAAAATAAGACACCAGGAATGGGACAGGACACAAGAGTTAGAGTTCCCAAACAATTACATGGGACATGGCTTCTATCCTTTTCTGCCTATGAAGTATATATTCTACTGCAAAAGGTTACTTGACATGTATTTTAACAGAGTTTGGGTTTAGATCCAAACAAACAAAAGAACACTTACACACTACTCTTAACTAGAAAACAACCAGGTATATCCTAAACTTAACTTGATCCTCAAGAATGGCAAATCTCAATGTGGCATGGATAAATAAGTGGCCCCAACTGGAGCATACTAACAACTAATATCACCAAACACTATCACAACTGAACTAACCTAACAACATTGATATTATTTACTCTGAAAATAGTAGGCCACTGGACTAGTCACATTAGGTTACTCCTGATACAGCAAATCAAGTCACAGTTCTATTCAACAACATTGACAACAGGCATATCCCCTTATACTCCGCAATTAGCTATGCTTGAGAAATGGTCTAGAATGGCTAATGAGTTGAACTGTTAAGCTGATGCTTCGGTTATATAATTAGTTAGAGCAACGTCCAACTTAATGCAATTATAGGTATATTAGTATAGGTTGGCCAAATTTGGTTATTTAACCAGGTTTCATTGAAGACCAGAGAATTCATTTTATTTACAATTTTCTTATTNGATTTTTGATAGATATTCAGTTTTGTCCAAAATAACAAACAAATTACTCTTGTCAGCTTTACGGATCACAATTTGGTCGTTATCTCTGAGATCTTTTGCAGCCTGGCGTAGAGCTGGTGTGAGGATTGAAGACTTAGATGTTCCTCGTTGTTTCGTTGCTTCCGCTCTTAGTTGATCTTTCAAGTTGGGATTGATTTCAATTTTGTTTTCATTTTTTAATTTCAATAAAGATTCGTACAACAATTCCAATTCTATTTTCTTCTTTGTCTTGTTAAATTTTGACATCACGTGACAATGGTCTGCCATCTCCGGTCTGGAGATGGCACGTGAGGCGGCGGCTTAAGGTAGTAGTGGTCAATCCAATGTTCGATTTTCGATTTGCCAGTTCAAACTAAAAATATTGTTCGATATATTGAAAAAACTAATAAGAAAATTGCGAATAAAACATATATATATATATATACGCGTGCGATTAACGACCAGAGAATTCGTTGATTTAAATTAAATGTCATCTGAAGAATTGTCCGACTCTTTGATAATTTAAATCAACGAATTCTCTGGTCGTTAATCGCACGCGTATAAATAAACTAATTCTGCCATCCAAAACTAATATATATATATAAGCATAAATGCTGCATTCTTCAAGAAGTTCAGGTTTAGGTGATGATACCAGTACCCAGGTTGGGGAGGTTAAGGGCCACCAGTCTGGGTCTCCAGGTCTCTAACTAGCTTGCCAGCTGGGCCTGGCACCAGCTGCTCCTATCAAATTAACAAGTACAAACTTGAGTCTACTACCCATGATGGTGAATAAAGGACTCCTACTTCAAGTGAATGATGTTTGTACTGTCGTTAAATTTAGCAATAAGGGTTAAAGCTTTTGCAAGAAGCAGGACAATTACACAGCAAAGTATAGCAAGGGAGAACACAAAGCAAAATGCAAGACCCTTTCATGACTGACGGGACTGTGATGTTCCGCTCAATGTTTTACTCCATAACTTGTATACAGCATACCATTCAAGGCATAGCTTACAGGGACACATAAGTAACACTCCTGCGCCTATGCCAACTCAAAAGTAATTGACTGACAGGACTGTGATTGACTGACGGGACCACCCAACAATTTACTCATAACTTTCATGTGGCGCTAAATTCAAGGCATATCTAACTACAGGGACATATTAGAAACACTCCTGCGCCTACACATGTCCAATCTAAAGGAATATTAATATATGTTCTTTTTGGGATATGTTATTATATAAGCTATTACATGCATTTGCCAAAGGAAGTTTGTGATATTATTCAACTACTAACAAAAAATATTACAAAAATGTTTTTTTAGCAAGATCAGTGATTTTGCAAATTGTGTCACCTCAGTTGGAACCATATACTACTGGAATTTTCTAGTCCCAATTATAAAAGTTTTACCATTAACATATATTTGATTATTTTTTATGGAGATGCAATATTCAGTCCAAGATCATGATGATTCTCTAGAAAAATATGAATAAAAAGTTGTAGAACACATTGCAGTTGCAAAAGGGTTAACAGCTGTTCTGCAAATGTCACAATGTAAATGCCCAAAAGCAAATAAACACTCAATAACTGTAATAGCAACCAAATGTTTACCAAGAACACAAGTCAAATTGGGTGCAATTAAGTTGAACGCATGACAATGAATAGGATAGGAAATTAATGCATAATATTATGGGACCAGTTTACAGCAAACTCACAATTCAAGAGCAGTGAAGTTGCCTAGGAAACAGGAGTATGCAGGAGAACCAGAGTAGTTTGGCAAGAAGGGATAGGATGACAATCACTTCAAGATAAATTAGGATTCAGGCAGAGTGCAGGCATTGATGAAGTCAGGTGCAGGTAGGCATTAGTCTAATAAACCATGCTGGTGTGTAACAAGTGTAATGAAGCTTTACACTGCCAAATGCTAGATGCAAGTGATTGGTTAGGCCAATATCAATGATATAATTCTGAAACAAGTGCAGAAAGAAGAAACACATACATTATTAATAACAAAGTTAAGGATTTTCGTTTGAGGAACGAAAACAATCTAATTAGAGCTCGGAGTTTTAGGCTGTTTGCTTTTAACATGTTGAAAGCTCTATTTGATCTTTGGATTGTTTCTTCCTCGAATTTAACCGTATCAGTAAAGAAAAAGGAATAAAGCTCTGTGGATATCATTAATATTAGTAGCATGATCTAAAATATCATGATAAATCATAGGTCCAGCAATGAGAGTTATGCAAGGGAAAAGAAATTTAACAAGAAAGCTAAGAGGAGCAATACTGAATTTATGGACCCACCCCTACTAGTGCTGACCAATTGGAGCACGAAGAACAGATGAGAGAGCTGTATACAGAATTTGAAGCACAATATCCTAAAATTACCCACAAATACAATTACACATAAACACTTGATGTTACACCTAGAGTTAATGAGCTACTTTCTTGATGGTGCGGTTTTTGAGCTAGATTCTTCCAGAGTTGTGAGAGAGGAATCCTTACATGGGCTGAAGGTTGGCAAATTTTCAAGGTAAGGACAGTGAAGATCTCGGGCTTGGGCCCAGTCTCTTCTCCTGTATTCTTCAATGATACCCAGGGCTTCTTCTATTGATTTATGCACTGGACTGAAGCTTATTTTTCACCAAGGTCTCTGAAGCCTCACCAATGGTACATTTGGTGGAGTTCCAACAAATCCACTGAATTCTGCAAAGGAATTCACATTTGAGTGCTCGCCTGATGGAGAAGGCCTAGGTGTCATTTTCTCATGTGAAGCAATCTGTGCATCTGGAGTTGCCATTTCAATTACTTCCACTTCCTGAGGTCTTGGTAGAGGAATGGCTAGCATTTTATTCTCAGAACGGACATCTTCAGCATGAGATGCCAACTGGGACAGCAGATTGTTATTAGAAGCACTCGCAGTTTGAAGGACTGGTGAAGGACCTCCCAAAGGAGCATCTCCAGGTGAAGCATCCTCAGGAGCATGAACTTGGTTATTGTTGGACTGAAGAGATTCAGATGAAACATTGTGTTCCTGAACCCACTGACTATGTCTCATTCAATACATCCAATACCAATTCTAAAATAGTATTAGCCAACAGGGCCTGATACTCAGAAAGGTGCATGACTTGTTAGACATTATGCTTGATTGAGATATACCCAAACTAGGTACTCCTCAGGCACTGGTTTTTTCATTAATAGGAGTGGAATGGCTGGGCCTCCTGATTTGGGGCTATTGTTGCCAGTTTGGTGTGTGGTGTTGTTATCACTCTTTTAGTGGTTTGGCCATCTTCTGGAAAATCTAAAGATTCAGAAAAGGACAATTTAGGTGATGAACATTTGAATTTGGCTTGGGATTTCATGGCCATTTCACTCTTTGTGGATATTCCCAAAGGAGATGATGGGGGAAACCAGGGATTAGCCTCAAAACTTGAAGTGGATGTTGATTAAGCAAAAGAATTATAAATGTTGTCCCCAGACCCAGCATGCTCATCAGTAGTTAAATGCATGACAGTGGAGCTAAACAATATATATATATATATATATATATAATGGATAAACAATATATAGATATTAATGGATATATAATATATATTAATCATTAATACTTGTTTTTCTATCTTGAAATGGCATTTGTCATTGATTTTTTATAGTAAAATTGTCCAGGATTCTTTAAAAAAGCTAAAAATGTTTAACTAACTGGAAACAGAAGTGCAACGTTGGATGACACATGATGCAAACAAAGGATGTAAGCAAGCTTCTGGTTGCTTCTGATGTGCAAACAAGGTTTGATAATAGCTACTTGCATAACATAAGTCTTTGCACAGGAAAGTTTTGATAATGTCAGAATTAGGGTGTGCTTGTGCAACACGTATCTTTTTGTATGTAAGTATAAAAATATGCGAAGTTTTGATAATCTGGCCCCTTTCAACCTTAACCTTTTAGCAACCAGCTGCCTTGTGGGTGCAAAATACTCCATTGGATCCATATCAAATTGCTGAAAGTTATTCATTGAAAAAACTTGGCATAGAGCAGACTGAAATTAAGCCAATTTGTTGGTCCAATTGGACTAAGGAGCTGTAAATGTAAGCAAAATAAACCCTTATGAAAGAAGACAGATATGTGTAGCTAGATGCTAAAGAGTTAAGATAAGGCTGACCCCCAACAACGTACATGGGCAGATGTAAAGTATAAGGATGCAGACTGAACATTAACTAAAATGAATGAGTATAAGTAAACCGTAAACTAATGCTATTGATTTAAACTGGTGCCTAAAATAATGATTAATTCCAGAACCATGAAAAACGTTATCCCTGTTATTACAAACTCAAAGTGAAGGAATTTTGGTTGTAATTTAGCTATCAGCATTTGTAAGTCAAATGATATAATATAGAAATTCTGTAGCTTTAAACCTGGAATAATTAGAATAAGCAATTTAATTAAGGTTTCAATGAGAACAAAAATGAGTTGGAGCTAAATATAAATGAAGAGTTTTGATATGTTGTTAAAAGGAAATATTCTGCCCTGTTTACATTGTGTTGACCATGAAATGAAATGGTTGCATTATGACCAGTTCTGCTTAACTCAGGATCTATTGATCAAAGTGGGATTTCTCTTATATTTTCTCATGTTTTTTCCATTAGTTTGTTAATTTAAATACACATTATTTGGATTTGGTTTCATTTTAAAGGTTTGAAGTTATTGTAAAAATAATATTACATGCATAATATTACATGCTTGATCTCGGTTATGAGAAATGCTTTGCACAAAATTACCTAAGAAAGTATTTTAGTCTCTATTTTTACGAGGTTATTAGTTGATCTTGGAAAGATTTTAATCAATATTAAATTTTCAATAATACAAATGTATGCTTGCAAATTGTTATAGTTGTATATATTATAGGCCTAAGTTGTGTGCAGGGAGAGCATGGAGAGCCAATTCCTGAGCTGCCTGAAGGAGGCTGACGCCCTGAAGCACCGTGGGGCGGTCATGGGGGCGCTGCAGAGCAGGGAGCACAAGCAGCTCTGGCAGGGTCTTGTCAATGGTGAGAACGGATCTTTCTGTTTTTATCATCTCAATCAAGTAATGCTTTTTACTTTTTATTGACATTGTCTCTTTTTTATCAGCACACTCTCAAGCATCATCATCTCTTTTTTATCATCACGCTCTAAACCACCATAATTGTGAAAAAGTGCTTTTTGTTTACATGAAGAAAGAACCATCTTTTAATTTACCTATCACAGTTAAATGCTTCCAAAATTATTTTCATGCATGCTTCCAGACAAATTTGATGAACTCCAGCATTATTTTCTTGCATGCTTCCCGACAAATTTGATGAACTTGTGAACGATGAACTTCGTTCACTATTAGTTTTGTTCATTTTTATCTCGTGGGCATACCGAAAGCCACATCTAGCGTAAGCCGCCTTAGTAACATTGATGTCCGGACCTTACTTGGGCGGTAGCGACGTAGTGCGAGGTCAGGTCTGAGCGGCTGTGGGTCGAGGTAGTTACTCGTGTCCCGCCACCCCTACAGTGAGGTTCTAGCCTTAACTCACCTCGCTCCGTTGCTCCACTAGAGATCTTGCGCCCTAGCGCTAGTTACTGTGGCTGTGCCATAAGTGTTTCTAGCAGCGTTATGTCTTTCGTGTTTGCTGTACTATTTTATTCAACGTGTTGTTTTTAAGTTTTCTTTACTGGAATAAAAGGCAAGTTTTACTCGTGTAACCGAAGTTTTAATGAATGAACATCCCAGTGCAATAAAGTGAACTTTTTACAAGATAGTTACCGGCGTTTGGCCGTGGAGCTTCGATTATCCTGATAAGATTAATGGTAGCGGCACACGTCCGGTGACATCTTTTCTGGTGTCAGAAGTTAAGGATAAAGCACCTGTGATTTTACCTACTGTGATTTTAACTAATCTTAGTGACCAGTGGTGTTCGTCTCTTGATGCGATGGCACAGAGCAGATCGACTGCCTCGGCAAATGCTACACCGTCAAGAGGTGACAGCTCCGAAGATCTGAAGCACGTGATGGAGCAATTGACAGTTGCCATAGGTAATATGAATCGCCATATTAAGCCGCCTCCCTATCAGTTCGATCCAGCTGTTAAAAGTGTGTCCATTTCTGATTTTTTCCGTTCGTTGGAGTCATACGCAGCCCACACTTATGGTCCCAAAGTGAATAATAGTGAAGCATGGCTGGTTGCGCTGAGATCCTTCTTGCTTGGTGATGCGCAGCGCAGTTTAAATGTAATGTGTTCGAATCAATTGGATTATGACACAGTGAAGCAGAACCTAGTCTCTTTGTTTACTCCTCGTGATATTTTACGTACTGGGAAGATAACTGCGTTTATGACTGCTATGAGACAGCCTGGTGAAACCTTTCCTGTGTACGCGATGCGATTGACCGGACTTGCAGCAAGTGCATTTGGAGCAATGGCTGATAGGGATAACTTCATCATTAGCAAGCTGATGGAGAGTTTGTCTGACGAAGTGAGAGCCCAAGTGACGGTGCAGATTTCCAACACGCCTAACCCTACGTTAGACACAGTTGTACAGATAGTTTCTGCCTTGGAGCCTTTCATTCGTCGTGTGCCGCCTTCTGTTCCTGTGCGAAGTTTCGAATTGCAGCATTTCACCCCGACGTTGATGCCGCCGGATTCCCGTCGAGAACGTACTGAAGCTGACAAGACGTCGAGAAGCCGACTGACAGCAACAGGAGCTATATCAAAATCTAGGGCCTGCTTTGAATGCGGTGAAGTGGGTCATTTTGCCCGCAATTGTCCGAAGCGTCGACAAGCGAAATCTTCACTAACGAAGTCGGCCAGTGGTCGGGTAGTTTGCCAGTATTGTGACCGCGAAGGGCACGTTCTTGCCAAGTGTCAAGACTTCAAGAAGGATTTTGGTTGCTGCATTTGGTGCGGTAAAACGGACCATAAGGCCTTTGAATGCATCAAGAAACCTTCGGAAAACTGAAGACTGCTGTGGAAGGTCGGAATGAAGCAGCAGGTAATTGTTCTCCGCCAGAAGTTAATTTGTTGATGTAGACTTAAAGGGATGTGGAGGCGAGCTGCTATTACTTACCAGTGAAGATTTTAATGAAATTTCTATGTGCGCACTGATTGATAACTGAGCTACCGTTTCTGTAATTACTAGTCGCTTTTTGGACAAGATGAATCGGCTTGAGAGGATTTGGACTTGCGTCGGTCGCAGTCATCGGTGAAGTTAGCGTCAACGTTAAAGCAGAAAAACTGCGTGCGACTAATGTCACTCTACTCGTAGTCCCAGACGAGGTCACCAGCCAATCACTTGTCTTCGGTCTTGATTTTCTCGAGAAGCACTATATGGTCGTGGGTACGGTGAATCGAGAGTTGAGATATTCGCCGCCAAATTAGTGTGCTGTGCAGCTCGAAGTCGAAGCCTGGTCTCGATGTTCAATGTTTGGGAAGAACTTCCAATGAAATATCTATTCATCCAAATGAGCGCATTTTAATTCGTGCTAAACTTTGTGATAGCAGTATAATAGAATTTCTGATGACGTTGATGGCTATGATCACCCATTTTGTGTATGGAGTAATAAAGAGGCTGATCTTGAAGTACCTATTCAGTTGAAAAAAAAGAACATGTGATAGTAGAAACTTTATGAACTTGAATACCATTGAAGTAACAAATTCTCTGAAACAAAGGACTAAATAAGGGCTATTTGCGGTGAGTGGTGATTTGGTGAATTGTGTCGGTGAAGGTGAGAGCGATGGTGAAGTACCGGGTTCTTGTCGAAGGACATTTTCATCAGTCCTCCGCTCCTAAGTTTCCCAAATTTCTCTGAAGACGCAGCGCCCCCGATCATCACAGTGGACGCGAGTGGTGCGGGCGTTGAAGCAGTTCTCTCGCAGACGCCGGATGGGGGAGATAAGGTTCTGACATCCGGGAGCACTACCTTCAATAAGGTTGCGACCAATTGCAGCACTATTTAACTTCGGTGGGCGGTAAGAACGTTTCGTCCATTCATATACGGCAAGAAGTAAATTATCCGAACTGAGCACGGAGCTTTAATCTACTGGTACGCGATGAAGAGCGTCGATACAAGGCTAATGCGAACTTATGAGGAGCTACACTGTGGACATAACGAAGTTCAGTTTGATGGAAGATTTGCCCATTAGCAGTGAGAATGTCGATCCCAACTATTGTCTTTGAGCGTTGAAAAGTTGAGATCAATGTCTGGTGGGCCAGATTCCTTGTTCCAAGCGTCAGCACTTGGTGTTTGTGGTTCAATGGAGGAACATCAAACTATTTTAGAAGCTGTGGTAGCTAGAGTTCTCAAACATCCTAGCGAGTATGGACTTAATTGGTAAGACGTGACTTGAAGAGCATCGAGACTGAGGCAAGTCTGTTATATGCCGGACTGGCGTTTACTCTAAGCATGCGTGAAAGAATTTAAAACTAATGTCTTCATTCACGAAGATGGTTTTGGTGTGGTTGGATGTGCGAGTAATGGTAACAATGGTAATATACCCGCCATCCATTTACGGAGTCTCCGCGGATCCTTTTTAATTTGATCTTAACAGACGGCGAAGACGCGCATGAGCTGTTGATCCGACACATCGAGCTGATGAGAACGAGAGCATCCGAGCCATTACGAGAGGAGAGTGAACCGTCTGCAGTACTGTACCATTTGGTCGACGACGAGTCCATAGAATCCACTAATAAATCTTCGAGAAAAATAGAAGTTTTGAAACAAAAGTCTTCGAAATGAGAAGTAAACAACAACCGCAAAGCAGGGAGCCAGGAAAAGACTATTGAACGTGCGACTGAAAGATGTATGGGAAAGCCCATTGAACGTGCGACTGAAGGAACAGCGGAACACAGCGAATCCCCCCCCCCCCATATGAGTTGTATGGGAGGGGAACGACGACGATTGGCGGAGTTACGATCTCCTTATTGAGATTGGCTGACAAAATAGCGGCACTGCTTACTAAAAGTCAAGCGGAATTAGCAACTCAGGCTGAAGACTTGCAGGTTGTTGGGCAGCCTGCTAGTGATGTGAGCTTCAACCAGCCGAGCATGGAGTGGGAAGACCTGAGTGAGCAAACAGACGAAGTGGCAGACGATCCACCGACTGGCGAAGCAGCGCTGGTTTTCGTGGAGTTATCGTCTAGTTTGCAGCCCGACATCGTTGAACGCGACAACGCGCCGCTGAGGCAGACACGGTCGTACTTGAGACGTGCAACTGAGTTGTTGTTACAGAGCGAGCAACGAGTTCTCGGGACCCGAAACTTCATCCGAGTCACATCAGTGTATTCTTTAGAACAAGATAGTTGCCGGCGTTAGGCCGTAAAGCTTTAACATTATGACAAGATTGAAGGTTGCGGTGAACGTCCGGTGACATACCGTACGTTTCTTTTAATTTTTATGCATAATGGGGTTATAGTGGGGTTGCACGCTTCTGTAGTTTGTATTCACCTCGGGGTTGCACGCTTCTGTAGTTTGTATTCACCACAGGGTTGCACGTTTCTTTAATTTTTATGCACCACTGGGTTGCACGTTTCTTTAGTTTGCATGCATCCCAGGGTTGCATGTTTATTGTTTATGCACCCCGGGGTTGCACGCTTCTGTAGTTTGTATTCACCACAGGGTTGCACGCTTCTGTAGTTTGTATTCACCACAGGGTTGCACGTTTCTTTAGTTTGCATGCATCCCAGGGTTGCATGTTTGTTGTTTATGCACCCCGGGGTTGCACGTTTCTTTAGTGTTTATGCACCCCGGGGTTGCACGTTTCTTTAGTTTTTATGCACCCCGGGGTTGCACGTTTCTTTAGTTTTTATGCACCCCAGGGTTGCACGTTTCTTTAGTGTTTATGCACCACAGGGTTGCACGTTTCTTTAGTGTTTATGCACCCCGGGGTTGCACGTTTCTTTAGTGTTTATGCACCCAGGGGTTGCACGTTTCTTTAGTGTTTATGCACCACAGGGTTGCACGTTTCTTTAGTGTTAATGCGCCCCAGGGTTGCACGTTTCTCTAGTTTGCATGCATCCCAGGGTTGCACGTTTCATTTGTTTTTATGCACCCCGGGGTTGCACGTTTCTTTAGTTTGCATGCATCCCAGGGTTGCATGTTTCTTTTGTTTTTATACACCCCGGGGTTGCACGTTTCTTTTGTTTTTATGCACCCCGGGGTTGCACGTTTCTTTAGTGTTTATGTATCACTGGTTTGCGGATTTATTCAATTTTCATGCTACGGAATTGCATGTTTTTCAGTTTCAGGCAAAGTGTTTCTCCAAGATCAATATGTGCTGTTTTATATTCGTAGTTAAAAAATGTTAAATGCTCAAACCTACTCTTCTATTCACTAGTATGTTTCATAAGTCTTTGAGCTTACAAACCTCTAGTGAATAAATCTCTTTTTAGTGCTTTTTCTCATTTATGAAAAAAATGCACTATTGTGCTCGTCATGTCCGTCTGTCCGTCTGTCCGTGACTTCATGTTTTCGTCGACGAGAAAATGTGCTCTCTGTCACTCGCTGCAGTGAGTACTGAGTTGTATTTTTTTTCTCTCCAGAGGTGCTGAACGAGAACACAGCTTCTGTGTGCGCGACCAGAAGCCACGACTTGCTGCGCTATGTGGTGCTGTATGCCGAGCAGCAGCTGTTGTCTGGACGCCTGTGTTCTCCTGTTATACAGCAGTTCCTCCTCACGCGCCTTATGCTCTGGGACCAGCAAGAGAATCTTTCACTTGTATGTCTTCATATTTTCATTCCTTCATTGATGTCAAAGTTATCTTTCTTAAGTGTTAGCTCGGCAAATGTGTTGTATACTTTGTATTATTTCATTTGTACAATAGCTTGTTTGTTTGAATCAGCACAAAAATTTCCAACTGATGATTATTTGTCAACTTGTTTGCTACAAATGGGTTGCTCTCACGCTGCATAAATTGTGCTTCCATTTTAACTTCTTTAAGAAATGTGTTTTGTTCAAAAATGTTGCTCTCACGCTGGTGCTTCCATTTTAACTTCATTAAGAAATGTGTTTTGTACAAAAATGTTGCTCTCACGCTGATGCTTCCATTTTAACTTCATTAAGAAATGTTTTTTGTACAAAAATGTTGCTCTCACGCTGGTGCTTCCATTTTAACTTTTTTAAGAAATGTGTATTGATGTGTTATTGTATTCATGACTGAATATGTTCGTGTGTGTCTTGTCTGGTGCAGTGTCTGGGCTGCGTTGAGAGCTTCACGTCAGTTGTGCTGTCAAGGCTTTTGTTTGACGCAATATTTTATTCTTGACTGAATATGTGTTTTATGTGTTATTTTATTATTTTTTGACTTTAAGTTATGTGTGTGCAGGTTCTACGTCTGGTGCAGTGCCTGGGCTGCGTTGAGAGCTTCACGTCAGTTGTGCTGTCAAGGCTTCTGCCCCTCATGGCCACTGCGCCCCTGCCTACTGCCTGCGCTGTCTCATTTTAACTTCATTAAGAAATGTGTTTTGTACAAAAATGTTGCTCTCACGCTGGTGCTTTCATTTTAACTTCATTAAGAAATGTTTTTTGTACAAAAATGTTGCTCTCACGCTGGTGCTTCCATTTAAACTTCATCAAGAAATGTGTATTGATGTGTTATTGTATTCTTGACTGAATATGTTCGTGCGTGCAGGTTCTACGTCTGGTCCAGTGTCTGGGCTGCGTTGAAAGCTTCGTCAGTTGTGCTGTCAAGGCTTCTGTTTGGCGCAATATTTTTTTCTTGACTGAATATGTGTTTTATGTGTTATTTTATTATTTTTTGACTTTATGTTATGTGTGTGTAGGTGTTACGTCGGTGCAGTGTCTGGGCTGCGTTGAAAGTTTCACGTCAGTTGTGTTGTCATCATTTAACTTCATTAAGAAATGTGTTTTGATGTGTTATTTTATTCATGACTGACCCTGTGTTGTGCGTGCAGGTGCTACGTCTGGTGCAGTGTCTGGGCTGCGTTGAGAGCTTCACGTCAGTTGTGCTGTCAAGGCTTCTGCCCCTCATGGCTACCGCGCCCCTGCCTACTGCCTGCGCTGTCATCACATGCTTCACTAACACCGCCCTCAACTGGTGTCTCACCTTCAAAAATAATTCTGGTATGGAAAACCTCCTTCATAAATAGTTTAAATTGTATTAAGCCGAATTTTTGCCACTAAATTAGTGCAGTCAAGATCAAAATGAAGTTGTTCTGTTTTAAATTTGGTTAGCCTTGTTAAAAAATTCCGAAAAATTATGCCTTGATCAAAATTCTATGACATTTAATCTATACGAACTGTGTATTGTATTATATGGGATTGAGCTACCTTTGGAAATGGAGCGTTTTACTTTATTTGAAGAAACAAAAAAGTCCTAAATTTGTTCCATCACTAATCAAGTTGAACAATGAACAGAAATAATGGAAGACGAGGGCTTCGCGATGGTTGAAGGCGTCCTGGATTTGGCGAGGCAACTAGACAGCTGCTTCTTGGGGAGCTGCTTGGTGCACTCCCTGCACCCCATGCTGCTGCACTGCATCCTGTCCTTCTACCACACGGTGAGTGCTGCACTGCATGCTGTCCTTCTACCACACGGTGAGTGCTGCACTGCATGCTGTCCTTCTACCACACGGTGAGTGCTGCACTGCATGCTGCTGCACGGCATGCTGTCCTTCTACCACACGGTGAGTGCTGCACTGCATGCTGCTGCACTGCATGCTGTCCTTCTACCACACGGTGAGTGCTGCACTGCATGCTGCTGCACTGCATCCTCTCTTTCTACCACACGGTGAGTGCTGCACTGCATGCTGCTGCACTGCATCCTCGCCTTTTACCACACGGTTGATTTTCTCTTTCCATGTCTCTTCCCGCATTACGTTAATGTTTTAACTATTTCCAAGTATGTATCGCTCAAGGCTCGAATCGCTACTCGTGCTCTTCGTAATACTGCATCAATTATTTAATTTTTTTTACGGAGATGGCGTGAAGTGTCTGAAAGTTGGCGCTGTTTGTTCATACGTTGATATTTCTTTATTAATTTTTGTCAGTCGTGTTTGGATCTGCGCTGTTTGAAACAAATTTTACAAATAAATTTTTTGATAGGGAAAGAGCACTAATGGCACTCTGAAAACAAAAGCTTAGAAATATAGTTTTTCAAGTCTTCCTTGTGTCTTTCACAAGTTTAACATAAAATTTATTCGTTAGATGTACAGTGAAGATGACAGGCCTGCTTAAACGATCATGAACCCAATACCGTGTGTACAAAAGATTGATTTCTACATTCATCTGTTTTTGTGTCTTCCAATAAGCTATCTATAATGTTTTCAGATCAATGACTGTTGCGAAGAGCTGTCGCTGCCTCTGGTCCTGTGTCCCAGCCCTCCTCTGACGGCTCTCATGCTGTCCACGACCGACGTTGGCATTGTTCATAGCCTGGGAATTTTGTTGTCCAGGTTTGAAGAAATGTATTGCATTCGGCCAGCTGGGGTGGAATTGGCTCTTAAGTGTAGCATTGGCCTAAAGTTAGAAAAAAGTTGAGCTGGGGTGGAATTAGCATTTAGGTGTAGCATTGGCCTAAAGTTAGAAAAAAGTTGAGCTGGGGTGAAATTAGCCCTCAAGTGTAGCATTGGCCATAATTTAGAAAAAAGTTGAGCTGGGGTGAAATTAGCCCTCAAGTGTAGCATTGGCCAAAAGTTAGAAAAAAGTTGAGCTGGGGTGGAATTAGCATTTAGGTGTAGCATTGGCCTAAAGTTGGGAAAAAATTGTGCTGTTTAGTGATCATGTGATGAGGTAATCAAGCCAGTTGTGCTACCTATCTAGGTATGCATGAACTAGGGCGATAACTCATTGCGTGATCGCATTACTGAGCAACAAACTTTCTCTAACTTTGGGCTAACCTCAAATTGTGCACTGCACATGAAATAACTTTCTCTCACTTTAGACTAAATTTACACTTGAAGGCCAATCTTACAACAGCTGACGGTACTAAATACCTACTAAATTAAAGACTAATTTTGATTAATATGAATTACTAAGCCGGAAAGCCCGTTTAAATGAGTGTTGTCATTTGAAAATGAGTTGAAAACGCCTGATTAAATTTAAATCCAACAACGCATTATGCTGGCTTTAGCTGACTCATATCTTTCGTTTAGCAACTTAGTTTTAATATATTTAATTGTGATTGTATATGTAACAGTAAATTTGATCAAACCTGCTAATTCCCAAATATTGTACCTAATATTAATTTAATAAATTGGTTGGTGACAGACTGCCAGCCGCGTATGAGCGCATAAAGACGAGTACGCGGGAGAACAGCCGGCACGCCGCCTTCTGCGCGGAGGTCTTCAAACACACGTCCCAGAACAACAAGTGCCTGCAGTTGTATATAAACTGCGCTCACGATTCCCTTGTAAGTAACACCACCATTAACTGCTCTCTATTATTATCCCAATGTGGCTCGCAATGTCGTTATTTTTGAAGTAATGAGTCAGAACAACAAGTGCCTGCAGTTGTATATAAACTGCGCTCACGATTCCCTTGTAAGTAACACCACCATTAACTGCTCTCTATTATTCTCCCAATGTGGCTTGCATTGTCGTTATTATGGAAGTAACGAGTTTCCCAAGGTATGCAGTAACTAGTTTACGATCATCAGTAAAGCATGAGTTTAGTGTCCATGCCAATATTATTTATGGTTACCTTTTTATGCAATGCAAAATGGGTGTTTTTATGAAAAAATAAAAGCTCTCATTTGATAATACGAACTTTTTCTAGAAAAAAAATTTTATCTGCTTAGGTTGGATCAAGATCCTTTCTAATTTATTTTTTGAGCCTCTATAAGCAAAGTCTCTTTTTAGATAAATAATTTTATCTGCTTCTGTTTGATCAAGATTCTGTCAATTTATTTTTTAGCCTCCATAAGCAAAGTCTAGATGAAAAAATTTTGATCTGAACTGTTCTAATTGACAGAAATAAAATGGATTAAATTCTAATTATTTTTGATTATTGTATAGGCCTGATCACTGACATAACATTGACCGTGCAGGTGTTTGTAGACTCAAAGGAGACATGGCGGGAAATGTGCACGATATTTCTCGGTAAGAAGCTGGTGCTTGCGATGCTCGGTTAGACCTGATCACTGACATTACATTGACCGTGCAGGTGTTTGTGAACTCAACGGAGGCATGGCGTGAAATGTGCACGATATTTCTGGGTAACAAGCTGGTGCTTGCGATGCTCGGTGCCCGTGGCCTGCGCTACAGCGGAGCAATGGCAAGTCAGCTGCAGTGCGCGGTGCTGCGGTCACAAGCTCCGCCGCCCGTCGCAGGTCAGGCGTTCGCTGCCGAGTCCGTAGAGGTGCGTGACTACGTACTGAAGGCGCTCGCTGACATGGGTTTGTCTGGCATCCAGGACTTCATTAATTCACTCAAAGATCCTGACTCTCCTACTGTTGAACTTGAGTCTTGACTTCATCCAGTGACTACGTACTGAAGGCGCTCGTTGACATGGGCTTGTCTGGCATCATGGACTTCATTAATGCGCTCAAAGATCCTGAGTCTTCTATTGTTGAACTTGAGTCTTGACTTCATCCATATTTCGGATGATCTTAATGGTAATAGCAAAGGAATGTGTTGAACGCTCCAAATTTGTTTTATTGTCTCGCAACGTTGATGTTTTATATCTTGAAATTGCACATGTTGTAATTTGTACTTATTTCTTTGTATAGCAAAGTGCACAATTCGGTTTGTAGCTGCGTTGTGGTACGAGTTTGTACTTGTCTAAAGATTTTTTTTATTTTGCATAAATTTTCACAAGTAATGTAGGAGCTTAACCAGATTGACCTTACTCGACCAAACCTATCAAACTACTAGTTATAATACTTATTTCTTTTAACAACTACTGTGCTTCCCGAAGGAATCTTTTTTATTAAAGATGGGTTTTGGAATAGTTGTTGCTTATCAAAAGCTTGTTTTCCAATCTTCAATCTCCGAGTTATTTGAAGAGTTAACTATAAAATACTGTGAAGCAGCTCTGTTGTTGCTGTATTTATCAATACTTAGCAGTATTATTCCTAACTGCAAACAATGTGGAATAACAGGAAAACTGGAATTGTGAGAGAATTAGTTAGCTACTCATCACCTCGTATAAGTAATGATAGCCCATTTCTTCACAAATTACTTTTAATTCTTGGTTAAATCTATGTCTGCTTATTTTTAGTTCTGTGATGCTTCCTGATTTGATTTGAACACATTTCAGCTGAAGTTTTGTTTCAATACCGCTTGGTCTATTTTTCAAGAGATAACCTTCATTATTGTACTACATATTAAAAAGTCAGTTGGAGGAAAGGGTGTTATTTTCTTGTCTGTGTTTTGACTGAAGGAAGCAAGATAGACTAAACTGTTGCTCTAATACGACAACCACTTTTTAGATACGTAATTAAGTCATCAAGATATTTGTACATCGCTCAGCTTTATTTTCATAAATTATTTTCTGTCAGATCTGTAATTTTATCCCAACTACTCACTGCTGTCGAACCATTCAATGCACATTCATCCTGAGCTGCTTGCAGCGTTAGTGGGCGTTTAATCAACGGCCATGGCCGACCTTTCTCGCTTATTGTCTTGAGTATTTGTTAGGATTTAGTGCAGAAATAATGTCTCATGTTAGCTGTGTGAATGTGTCGAAAATTACGTCGACTTCAAGTTCCTCCTGCGAGTAATTTCTTGAATAGTACTGAATTTTGATCAAGTTTTCAGCTTGTTACTAGAAATGTATTAACAAAATTTGCAAGAATTTTTTTCTTTATCTTGAAAAGTGATAGACTCCTGCAGGGAGCGGAAGACTGAACTCTTCTGCTAGGGAAGCTCGGCACGTTCCCTCAGTCCCTAGTGCCTTCTGGATCCTACTTAGGGAGGCCTTTGATCTAGTGTCCTACTACTTAATTATTGCGCCACTCTTGAGATCCTATTGATTGTGCCACTCACAGGATGCCATTGATTGTGCCACTCACAGGATGCTATTGATTGTGCCACTCAGGGATCTTGTTGATTGGGCTACTCACGTGATCGTATTGATTGTGTCACTCGCTTGATTGTATTGATTGTGCCACTCGCTTGATTGTATTGATTGTGCCACTCGCTTGATTGTATTGATTGTGCCACTCGCTTGATTGTATTGTCACTCACGGTATCGTATTGATTGGGTTCACTCACGTGATCGTATTGATTGGCCGTGTTAGTTTACGTTAGTTTGTAGTTAGTTTACCTTAGTTACGTTAGTTTTTAGTTATCTATGTTAGTTTGGTAAACACTTCTCTCAAGTTTTATTTTCCGGCCTGAAAATGGCATGCAAGTTATTCCTTTGTGTAGCCCTTGACAGAAGGAGCCCTCGCTTCCCGTCGCCGACACAGTTAATGTGTTGGAAAGAAAGGAATTATTCGCTAGAATTGTTCACTGTTCCCTAACTTATTTAAACACGAGTGGTTAATGACCAGAGAAATCATTGATTTAAATTTTCAGGATCGAACAATATTCTTCAGTGGACGTTGGTTGATAAAAATTCAGGTTCAAGGAAGTAATTTAATTTATTAACTCGTGTTTAAATAAGCTTATTCTGCTATCTTATAGTAATGTTCCCTAACTTTATACTTAACCGCCGTTTCCTTAAGTTTGCTCAAGTTTTTGACAGAATGGAATCCATGTTTAATATTCACACTTTGCTATATATTCATGGAAGCAATTAAAGGGATTTTAATTTTTTTGTTTGTGTCTCTCAATCGAACGTCAGCCACCAGTCTTATCATGAGTGAAGAGTGTTAGGATTGAATACACACTATTGCTTTCTGGTATACATTTGTTCAATTCATTTTTATTGCAGGTATTCTTGAATTAAAGTAGCTGAGACGTGAATATCGATAGACGCTCGTCAGTCTGGAACATCTCTCTTCGTGGCTAGCTTTTTCGTAACTGTTATTAATTGATATATTCGAAAGATCATGGACATCGCAAGCGTTGGGTTAAGTCTGTACACTGGCAGTATGGATCCTCCTGTAGACGACCAGGCTCAAGAAGACGAAGAAGAAGCTGAGGAGGAACGACAACGTCAGCACGAGATGAAAAACCTTTTAGCCAACGCCTTCGACGATCTCGAAGACTCGGAGCTGCAGCAGTCGAGTTACTATCCTCCTGGAGATCAAGACGGAGGTGATACAGAACGAGATATGTTTTCCGACGTCCGGGCTAACGATCCTACCGGTAACGTCAGTAGGAGTTTTCAAGTTCACGAAAATGGGGGTAATCGGGCTAAATCTAGCGATGCTTGCAAAATCTTACATGCTGCTGGTGCGGTGAATGGACATCCTAGAGATAATTATGACGATCGCCGGAACAATGTTTATTATGGCACGCAACAGAATGATCCACATCCGCACTACACCAGAAATAACGAAAAATATCAAGACATCAATGGCCAAACCGGAGAATATGGAGAAGGAAACTATGGACACGAGTCTGATCGAAGCGTAACTCCATGGAGCGATAGAAGCAACTCCATCACGTCCTCCAATTACCACCATGGAGCCGACGTTGGTGTAAACCCCGAGGCGATGCGGTTGAACTTGCAGGAGAACACAGATGTTTCTTACGATGCTAGAGGCGGCCAATTAATAACAACGTCTCGTGATGGTTCGGATTCCTTGATGCCACTACAGCAAAACCTTCTGGGCGCAGGTTCGCCGCTTGGTCAACTCAAACTCCTTTATGAGGCACGAGGGCGCGAGCTTGATAAAATGGCTGCTGAAATTGAACAGCTACGAGCCGAGAAGTTGAGTCAGGTGTCATATTTACAGCATGAAGTGACGCTCTTAAAGGGTGAGAAAGATAGGCTCGAACTCAGCCGATCACAATCGCAAATTTTGCTCACTGAAATGGAAGGTCAGATGAGAAGTCTTCGAACTGACCACCAAAAGACTTTAGACGAACTCACCGAAGTTAAAGCTGATCGCACAAGACTGAGACTTAAGCTTCAGACTGCTGAATCTCACATCAAGACATTAGAAGAGAATATTAGCGACTTACAGTCAGTCGATTCGCTTGCCAAAAACCGACAAATGCATGAAGATTTTCTGGCCAAACTTCAGAGTTCGCATCGTGACGAGTTGAAAGCCTTGCATGTTAAACTTAGCAATGCTGATCATGCGCTTCAGGACGAGAAACATCGGTTTATGGAGCTTCAAGCAGAATTGCAGTTAACCCGCGAAAAACATGGTTGTATTTTGATGGAAAAATCACGCATTATAAAAGAATTGCAGTCCAGTTTAGAAGCCAGTCAGCAGCAGTGCGACTCGCTTCTTGCTGCCAATCGGGCTAGCGATAGTGCTCATGCACTGCGGCAGAAGATCGAAACTTTAACTGAGGACAAAAAGCAACTTGAGAAGGAACTGGAAATTGCCAGAGCAAAGTGTGAAGAGCGTAAAGAAGCTCTTGAAAACTATGACACTGCATTAAAATTAGGAGTTCTTTCTTCTGTCATCCCGTCGGACGATTCGATGGCACAGCTTCGAATTGGGGCTCAAAAACAATTAACTTACGAAGACACGCTCGTAGCGTCTGAAACCGAGGCTGCAGATGACAGTAAACCTGGTGCATCGGACACTAGTCTGGTGCGCAAATTGAGGGAGGAATGTCAGCACGGTCTTCAGGTTATCAAACATATGCGTGATCGCGTGGAGGAGCTCAGTCAGGAACTTGGTGAACAAACAAAGACCATAAGGAAACTGCAAGCGCAGCTGAAGTCTTGTCAAGTGGATGTTGACGTCCACGTCAGTACAATTAAAACGCTCACTGATGAAAATAATAAACTTTCTGAGCAGTTGTCCAAAGCAAGGCCTGAGTGCTTGTCATTGAAAACTGAAAACAGTTCCCTGAAAGAAGAACTTGCGTCAGCTCTCCGTCAAGTATCAGTCCTCCTTCGGTCGGGGAATGAGCTGAAAAAAGTGATCCAGAGCATGGAAGAATCGAGCGTTCCTTCCTCAAATTATGGTGAGCTGGCTTCACTTTTGATCAATCACCGGAAAGCCATCGCCCAGGTCGAGAACTTTAATCAATTACGCTGGTCAGAGTTGCGCAAGGAGACCGATGAGCTTGTTAAAGACAGGTTCCTCTGGACTGAACGCGTCGGTGATATAGTTGCTACTTTAGATTCTCTGAAGATCAAAATCTGCGAAATGCCTAATATAGACTCAAATATTTTGAAGTCTTTGAAAGATCTCTTTAAAGATTTCAAAAATCACGCGTCTCGGGTAAGAGAAGCACAAGCTGCCCTCGTAGAAAAGTACACGACTGCGCAAAATGATCTTTGGACGGTTAAGCTATCACTTCAGAAACTAGAAAATAGTGATGCTTGTAATCGCAATCGTATTCAAGAGTTGTCGGACAAGCTGGCGAATGAAATACAGAATGGTCGAAAAGTGTTAGAAGATTCTCTAGAAACGTCCAAACGGACGTACCTTAAGTTCCACGAAGACGCCATCGCTCACCACAAAAGAGAGTTTGATGTTGTTCGGGCTAAGCTCGAAGAAAATATTGAGTCGTTGAACAAAGAATTGACCGAAGTCAAGGCCCTCTATGTTTCCGTGTGCAAAGAAAAAAATGAACTTGAAAAGCAGCTCGAAGGAGATTCCAAAGATGAAGACTCTGGTATCAGTAGCGATCGCCTAAGATCTGCCGTAAATGCTGTAACCTCTAAGTACGAAAAATATATATTGGGTCTCAAACAGAATCATCAGCAAGAACTGCTATCTATCGGCCAGGTCAAATCTGTATGCTCTGCCGAGGTGCAGACAAGTCTAGTTAACACCGATGATCCAGCAAGGTCTCTGTCAAGCAACTCTCCAATTTCATCAAATATATCGCGGGCCGAATTGAATATTGTCTCACCTAACGCAGAAGAAGCGGAAGATTCTCATATCGCCGTAAAGAAACTTGGCTCACAGTTGAACGCTATCAACAGTAAGGTGTCAGAGCTCATCGGCGGTATTCAAGAAGGGCAAGTGGCCAAAACTCAACAAATAACCGACTCTTTGGAATCTTATAGGCAAAAATTTCTTATTTTAGAGCGCCAAATATACGCAGCCTTGACGCCCGAAGAGCGCGGCTACACTTTATCAGTATTCGAAGATTCATTCGCCAGAGAGACCGCAGAAGGGATCATCAGTGAATATAAAAACACAATTGCGAAATTGAAACTAGAAAACAAAAAATTACAGGAATCGTTTGAAGTGCGAGTCCGAGATTTGCTGCAGCAAGTCAAACTTGTTTCGGAATCCAACGAGAAGATGATGAACGAAATGGCCAATATCCAAAGGCAGCATAGCGCCAGCAAAGCCGAGGGCATTGATGTAGAATCTATTGTAGAATCTATTGATTCGTTGCGACACCAAATGGAGCTCATGTCAAAAGATCACGCAGAAGTTGTTTGTAGACGTGATGCCGAAATCAAGGAACTTAATTCTTCCAGAAACGTCGAGCAGTTGCGCTTCGTGCAAGAACTCAACAATCTAAAGGAAGAAATGTCTCTAGCTAAGAAAGAAGTAGACGAGCTCAACCAGGAGCTTGTCTTGGAGAGAGAAGCTGGGATAGTTGCAAGGAACAAACTAAAAGATAAATTTCGTCGTCTCCAAGCATATGTTGAGGAAGTACGGAACGCCGCCGATAAGAGAGTGGATCATTACATCAAGGAGGCAGAGAGAGTTCAGCGGGAGGGCGACGAAAACCGACTAAAAATTTTCAAATGTTTCCAAGCGTATCTCGATAGAGCCAAGGACAAGCTCGAGGACAGCGTACGTCTCATTATTCGCGCCTGTGAAGAGAACCCTTCGCGAGATCTTCATTATGTTCCGAAGTTGGCCAGGAGTATTCTGTTAACATTGGAGGAACTTAAACTTGACGAAAGCCTACTGCAACCAAAAGTTCGGAAGCTGATACCTACCCCTGGTAGTAAAAAAAAGGAAGCAGGAAATTTGAACGAAATCAAGCCTGCTGCCTAAGGTGTACATGAAACAGACATTATTCTTTTAATCTTATAAGTTTTAATTTGCAAATTAAATAGTCGGAAAAAACGTTATTGCTACTCAACACTAGATGGCAAAAATTTAAATTAGTATTTTACTATCACGGTTTTTGAACTTTTGTGATAGAATTTCTTGAATGGGAACTCAAGTTTTGTACCTGCCTTTCTGGCGTTATTATTTATTGTAATAATTTTACTTATTCAAGGTTTATTTACGTCGCATCAGCTGGTCTGATTCGTTATTTCTGTCGTGTTTGGTTTCGGTAATTTATTTCGATTCCGAACGCAAATTTTATTACATTTGATGGCTTTTTAGCTCCCGAGTCTCGTATCTCTGAAGTGAACTGCGTATTTGATTGTGAGAACATTGATGGGTTTGCGTGCTGCTGATAAAAAGAAGTGAGCTGACATTTTCTAGCGCGGTTGGATATCAATGCTCGTTTTTGAACGAAATCAAGCCTGCTGCCTAAGGTGTACATGAAACAGACATTATTTTTTTAATCTTATAAGTTTTAATTTGCAAATTAAATAGTCGGAAAAAACGTTATTGCTACTCAACACTAGATGGCAAAAATTTAAATTAGTATTTTACTATCACGGTTTTTGAACTTTTGTGATAGAATTTCTTGAATGGGAACTCAAGTTTTGTACCTGCCTTTCTGGCGTTATTATTTATTGTAATAATTTTACTTATTCAAGGTTTACTTACGTCGCATCAGCTGGTCTGATTCGTTATTTCTATCGTGTTTGGTTTCGGCAATTTATTTCGATTCCGAACGCAAATTTTATTTCATTTGATGGCTTTTTAGCTCCCGAGTCTCGTATCTCTGAAGTGAACTGCGTATTTGATTGTGAGAACATTGATGGGTTTGCGTGCTGCTGATAAAAAGAAGTGAGCTGACATTTTCTAGCGCGGTTGGATATCAATGCTCGTGCATCTCCTCGTCATTCTACTCGAGCTGCCTTCTAGTGCCCCTTAACCATATATCATAGGGAAGTATCACTCACGCTTCATCCGAACCGTGATAGAACACCACCCCGAACTGTGAAACGAACATATATCAAGCTATGATGTCCACTTCCATCGTGGGCTCTGCCACGTCGGTAATCGAGCTGCAGGAAGGCTTCAAGAACAAAATATCAACTATTAATGTAAGTATTCGAATATAATTCATTTCCCCTAATACGCAGAAAGAAGTTTTTATCAATATTTATAAGTCAAAAGACAATGAATAGTTCTCGTAATTATTCCATACATATCAGGCTGTCTACTGTATATACTACCTGATAAGCATGCCATTCACTTAATAATAATATATAATAATAATAATAATAATAGCGGTTTCAGCGTTATTAGGCCGTAGGCCTGTCGCCGATTCTTAACATCGCAGAACATTCACAGCTTGTTGCAGTCTCGAACTCACAACTCACTGCTACAATTCTGCTTTGCTTGACCGCCCGGTCTCCTTGCCGATTCTGGCCAGAAACTGGCGCACAGAGCTGGGATCGAACCCGCGCCTCTCTGCGCCAATCTTGGTACTATGAACTGTAACCCCTGGGCCACCCTGCCCTGTAACCACTGGGCACTAATGGAGCTCATTTCACTTTCTGCACAATCCTCAGGTATGCGTTGGTCTCCTGAGCGCCGATGACGACGAGCACCAGCGGCTGCTGCGGTCTGTGAAGCAGGAGCTCTATAGCATCACGCAGAACATCTCCGCGCTGAGGTAAATAATGCGAGAAGTTTTCATTTTCATGAGCTTTTACGTACGTTTTATTCATTTTCATGAGCTTTCATTTCCCCTCAGGGGGAACTTCTGACGCGTGTCTGTGCTCGTCAGAAGTCCTATGGAATTTCGCGTTAGTAGAGGGATTGTTCCTGAGCGCCCCACCGCTGAGCTCGCGGTGTCTGAATGCAAGTCTCAGTTGTGGGGTTAAGTTATTATGTAGGTAAGATTCCTTACATTAAGTTATTATGTAGGTAGGACTCCTTGCATTTCCCTTCTCTGTCTCTCTCGTGCGGGCGGCCGACGTCCCGTGTAAGCGACCTCTTGTTCGAATGTCTTAGTTTCTGTTGCTTTTCACCTGTCCCTCCTTGTCACTTCGTCTCTTTGAGATGCTAACGCTGCGATCCAGCTCCAGCGGGCTGGAGATCTGAGACCTCCCGCCCCTTGTGGGTGATGATGAATTTGAATAATTGAGACCTCCCGCCTTGCTGGCTATGTTATCTTTTGACCTCCGATGCGAAATAGCTTGATATCTGAAGCGCTATTAACTATAATACTACTACTACTTACGTATCTAGTTAAGCAACAAGTTTTTAAAAGTCTTTTTTAATATGTTCAGGTCGAGCGTTGCAGAAGGTCGCGAAAACCTGCAGCGCATGAAGCAACTGCTGGTAGTGGTGCGCTCCTACAACGCTCAGCTCAATCACATGCGTCAGCATCTGCCAGCTCATCTGCCTCCAGCGGCCGGTCAGCAAGAGCGACCCAAGCCTTCGTTGCCGTCCGTCACTAACGCTGCTGCATCCAATGAGATCATCCAGTCCGCTCTTGTCATCTCCGCCAAGGTTTGCTTCTACTTACTTGCTTCAACCTTTCTTACTTGGAGTAAACGCTTGTATGCGTATGCGGTTGATGCAATTTTAAATTATCTTCGTCATCTGAAGATCCAACATAAAATAATTTCGTGCAGGTCTGTAACTAATCAGGAGTATATAATTGCCTCTACGTAAACCTTCTCATTAAAACGTACAAATGGTTCGTTTCTTCCTTAGTCAGTTTTTTCTTTCCTGAATTTTTCAAAGTTCACAACTTCAGGGCGGAAGTTCACAACTTTAAAGGTGGAGTTAAGCGTGTTGTTGATTTATTTGAACTAAACATATATGATTTATGCATACCAATTCAAACTTCAAAGTGTGTGAAGTGTTGTGTTCATATGATGGCTGTGTGCAGGATGGCGAGAGCGTCTCCTCCTGTCCCGCTCAGTTCGCCTACATCACCGTCGAGGAGTTCGATGAGGTTCCCAAGTAAGCGCCGTCTCGGTTAATCTCTCACTTAATAAACGCTCCACTTTTTAATCTTTCACTTAATAAACGCTCCACTTTTGCCGTAGTTTTTTTACCTGGCGATGCGATGAGACTTACTTCAATAATTGATTAATTTAACTCGTGACTTCGATACATATTTATTCAAAACGATGTAGATTATATAACACTTTAGTCGTTTTCTAATGCAGGTTTGTTTGTTTCAAACTTCTTTTGTTTGGATGCGCATTGTATTTATCTTCAAGTTCGTGTTTTTCCTCATTACCTACTTTTTTCTGCTTGCTGAACATGTTTCTTAATCTGCTTTGAGACATGNCAGCCAGAAATCAAAGAAAAAAATGTTTTTTTGCGGTCGTCTTGCTCTTTTTCCTGGGACTTTTGTGGATTTAATGACGCCTTTTAAAGAAGGTATTAATTTTTTCGTATAGAAAACCTTGCCCACAAATACATTTCCTACAACAGGTACATCAAGGGCAGGCTTCAGTACGGCCAGATCAACCAAATGGTGGACCAGATGAACAAGGCGCTGGCGGCGAAGTACGCGTTACTCCGGCGACCTCGCAGCAAACTCTCCGTGTCTGAGATGAAGCTCGTCAGCGCTCTCCGATCACAGAGCAATGAACAAACCAAGGGTACTTGACACTAACGTGGGATTTTATATTGTCCTTTCTTCAGTTCACCATTTTAATTAATTACTGACTGCTGTCTGTTAATTACTGACTGTCAGCAAACTCTCCGTGTCGGGAGATGAAGCTCGTCAGCGCTCTCCGATCGCAGAGCAATGCACAAACCAAGGGTACTTGACAGTAACGTGGGATATTATATTGTCTTTTCTTCAGTTCACCATTTTAATTACTGACTGCTGTCTGTTAATTACTGACTGTCAGCAAAGTCTCCGTGTCGGAGATGAAGCTCGTCAGCGCTCTCCGATCACAGAGCAATACACAAACCAAGGGTACTTAACGCTAACGTGGGATTTCATATTGTCCTTTCTTCAGTTCATCATTTTAATTACTGACTGCTGTCTGTTAATTACTGACTGTCAGCAAACTCTCCGTGTCTGAGATGAAGCTCGTTAGCGCTCTCCGATCACAGAGCAATGAACAAACCAAGGGTACTTGACAGTATCGTGGGATTTTATATTGTCTTTTCTTCAGTTCACCATTTTAATTACTGACTGCTGTCTGTTAATTACTGACTGTCAGTAAACTCTCCGTGTCGGAGATGAAGCTCGTCAGCGCTCTCCGATCACAGAGCAATGCACAAACCAAGGGTACTTGACACTAACGTGGGATTTTATATTGTCCTTTCTTCAGTTCACCATTTTAGTTACTGATTGCTGTCTTCCCTGCTGAATTTTGGAGCGCAAGAGTTCTACAAATTGTTATTGGGCTTTGCTCACTGTTTGTTAAAACAGTCATCGAAAGCTACTTGATAACTAGTTACCTGTAGAAACATGACTACTGTATATTAGTCAGCATTAGCTCAATAATTGATTCACCCATCCCTATTACGACGAAAACTTCAGGTTCTACTTGTTCTTATTAAATAAAACATTGATTTTCAAATGTAATTAATTTTAAGGTCATTAACGATTTTTGATGATCTCGGTCGGAAATACATTTTTCCATCTTATTAACAGGGCGCGTGTTCGTATGCTGTGATGATCTCAAGCGTTGGAGTGACGTCAAGATGGACTCGACTCATCGGTCAATGCTCACTGTCCTCCGGACCGCTCGCAAATGCCAAGAAATACGTGGCCCTGCTTCTCTTATACGCTACGCCGTACCCGTTGATACCATCTGAGTTGCTTTCTGTACACTCAGATCACACCCAAAAGTCGCAGTATTCTCATAGAAAATATCTTTTAAATCTGTGGAACTATTTTAGTGAATGTCGTTTGATTTTTAAAATCTTCACCGAGATCAGTTAAATTTATTAAATTTTAAATAAGCTTGTTATACCGCTACTTTTGTATGTAGCCAATGACTTGTCGTTCCATTATGAAACCATCTTCTGGTTGCTTTAAAACTCCGAACCTTATATTCACCAAATGCTATATATCTTGAAAGGAACACCTTTAATATAGAGCTTATTTTAAAATGCAGAATAAAGGAAAGCCCATTTTATAACCATTTACCCCTCAGTTTTTAATTGATTCGCTTAGGCCATTATTGGAAGTGTACTAGCCGTTTTACGCTTGTTGAACAACAGCATAACGCAAAGGGAAATGTTATTAAACTTTTCGATTTAATTTGTACCAGATAATCAATGCGTCACCATATTTGATATTGAAGTCTTTCAATTTATTTAACCTCGATTTTTTTATTATCTTGGTTTCGAAATTCGTCTTGCTCGACCTTATGTTCATATGATGAACTTGGGCTTCACCGAATAAAACTGCTCTGTTAAGTGTATGTTTCCATGGTCGATCGTTCGACTAGAATGAATTGTCATAGATCATTCTAGCATTTTTTTTTTGTAATGGCTGTTTGTATTTGTCCTGAAGATTATGTACAAATTTCAGTGCCTATTTACTGTACATTTGCTAAGAATCGGTAACTATATTTCAGTGTCTGATGAATTCAGACACATTATTATACATAATCTTTATTATTCTCTACTAAATACGTGTTCACTAGTAGAATATGTAGCTCTTGACATAGCTTAGGCTGCGCGACGTGAACTCGGTTTCTGATATGTAAATATGTTCTCAGTTAAGGCTATTGGTGTTAAGCTAACTCCCTATTAAGTACACATGCCTAATATTTTTAATGAATATATATTTTTCAGGTATAATGCTATTTTTGGTCTTCTCTGAATTTCCTTGCGCTTTTGCTAGAATCGCTCAATTTGAAATTTATTCATTACCTTGAAATCAGGTTCTAGAAAACTGTATTTCTCTTAAAGAGAAATTTAATCCAACAATGTCGAAAAAGTAAGATTTCAATACCATTATATTTTTACAAAAATAGTAAGATACAATTTTTTTCCACTCGATAATCTGGTATGGGAGCTCTGTCACATTTGTGACCGAGTACTAACCACAAACCAAAATTTCAGTCAAACCTATATTTCAATTGCAATTATCTAATTAGCTAACATTATTTTAGGCTAATAAATAGTGAACTGTTTCGTCATGTTCGCTGTCAAACAGTGCAGCTTGAGTTGCATCTTAAATTCTAAATAGGTGCATCTTCCAAAAGTCATGATATAGGTTAACAGATATGATGTGATTTTTCAAATCTAGTAGGTCAGCTGTTCAAGTTTATAATGAAAGGCTTCAATTGATCACTCTGTTGAATAAATAAGTTAGAGGGCCTTAGGATGACTGCTGGATGAGGTAAAGACCTGGCGTGTCTCATAGTTCTTGGTGAAGGTCTTGCGTTTGGTACCGTCAGGAAGGATTTCCTCGTATCCTCCAGCGGCCTCACTCTCTTGTTTGCGACGTTCCTGGTTACCCAAGACTGTGCCGTCATGGCCTTTAAGCGTGGACACCTCAGTGACCGCGTGGTGCTGGCGCTTGACACCGGGGGCCGGGGAATCCTCCCATCTCTTCTCCTCTCGTTCAGTCACGGTGTCGCCTTTGCGGATGATGTCCTTTGTGGTCACAGCGCCCCTAGGTGGAGCCACCACGATGCTGGTAGGTGTGCTCGTAGCTGGGGCGGGAGCATCGACGCTCGTGTGGAGGGTGTGTCGGCTCATCATGTCCTGCATCTCGCGTTGTGATTTCTCTACCATGTCGTCGAAAGATGAAGACCAGTCGTCGCGTTGTGTGGATACGAGGCCTCGACGGTCTGGCACACTCGTGGTGAAGGTGGTGACCTCGCGAGTTGTGGTGGGGCTCAAGGGGACGGAGGAAAGGGTGGTGCGCGTTGTGGTGGTTATGGCAGGACGAGAGTTAGCCTGAATAAAATGCAAATCAGAAAATTATAAGCAATTTCAGCAAAAAAAATGAGCTAATACAAGATTTAGTGATGAAGCAAACGCTATCAAAATTCAAACTAAATGCCACAAAGTTTAACGTAAAAAGAGGCAGTTCGAAAAGTTTTGTTGACACGCTCAATGCAAAATTAAGCTATTGAAAATAATAAAACTTTATTATCAGCATCTACGTAAAATTTATTAAACTAATGAAACGATTAGTTTAACTAAAAAATAATCTAAGGAAAAAGACATCCGAGTCACACCAAATAAGTGATGAAATTTCGAAAGGCAAAAAAATTGGTGCCTAAACCTTGACCTCTTCTAATACAGTTAGGAAAGCAATAAAGCTAAAAAGCAATTGAATAATGACACGACCTCGCAGTTACTCAGGCTGTGGGGAAAGAAACGCATACGTTACAAAATAATATTTTTATAGAGGTGAATTTTTATATGGGACGATATTGTTTCACAATGTGAATTTGTGGTAGGGGTTGCATTGTCTTTACTACAAACTTTTATCATGGGTACAAAGTGGGAGTGCATCTTTAGCCTTTTAGTTGTTTAGCCAAACCGGGCGTCAACAGACTAGAATCACTAGATGAAGCTATTCAAGAGTAAATATTTCGACTGGTAGTGCCTCCCACAGCACAAATTATTGGATATTCAACAGCCCCTTAGCTCCAACGTCAGCTTTGGCTAGATCTGGTCAGAAGGCCCGTCTCCAGATCTACAAGAGACAAGTCAAGAGAATGGGCAACAGGCCAACCTGGCCTATTCTTCAACGCCGATATCACAATAGTCAAGAGATTCGGCATATAATGGTATAGAATAGACAAGAGATAGGTAGGTATAGAATAGTCAAGAGATTCGGCAACAGGCCAACCCGGCCTATTCTTCAACGCCGATATCACCATGTTTTGTTCTCCTCGAGTATCTCACCAGTTTGGGGGCGTTTATCTTCAGCACGCCGTCTTTGGAGAGAGCAGAGCTGATCCTGGCGAAGTCGACGTTCGATGGCAGAAGAAAGCGTCGTACGAACTGCTGGGTCGACACCGACGTGCCTTCTTTTTTCTCGATCTTTCCCTCTACGACAATTTTGTCATCGACCACCTTTACGTTGATGTCTTCGGGCTTGAAGTCCTTCACGTCAATCACCATCTGCGATTCGTGGCGAGAAATTATAATATATAAATTTTGTCAAATTCCCTATTCATACTCATTTTCATTTTACTACATTGAAAGCCTTTTTTATGCTGAGGCAGGGAAAAAGCTGGAATGAGGGGGCACAAAGAAATACATCATTAATACTGTGAAGCTTGCTAGAAGATATTCAATAAAAGACAAGATATCTGAATAATCGCGATCGAGGTAAAGACCTGGCGTGTCTCAGCTACGATAGAATCTGATTGAAGCTAGATTCTCTCTATCACCTTGAATTTATCGTCTTCCTCGGTGCAAGAGACAGCCTGCGACTCGTCAGAGGTGACGTTTGAAGATCTAATTTGGCGGTAAATGTTCCTGGTTTCGGTGGCAGGCGCGCAAGACACGGTCGATGTTGTGGTCGTGCGCTTGGTGTTGCTTAGGTTGCTGGAGGGCGCGTCCGTGTCCCATTTCTGGACCACGTCACGCATGGCTTGATCCCACGAGTCCCACGAGTCCTAGAGGAGCACCAAGACAATCAAATTAATATGATCCTTCATTATTACAAATCGTAGAATGCCCGTGAAAATGGTAATTTGTTATCATTTGTATGTTAAATACGTTTGTACACAAATTATATTCTTTCAACTCGGTAATATGATTAACCTTGAAGAAGGAGTCGTCGTGGAAGCCTCCTCTCTTCTCGACGGTGACCGTCTTTGTGGTCTTGGTCGTCGTCTCAGCCATCTTGTTCCTGGAAAAAACTCTGCCTTAAACATCATAACCAGAAATTTTCTATTTTAATAGTGTCAACGTGGAATTAACAAAGAGTCTCAGGTAATCTCCATAATTGTTACTTTCCCTCAAAATGCATTAGCACTTTGCAATTAATAAATAGCATTAAAGTCTATTCAAGAGTTATCACCTCATTCCCGCTGAAGTAATAGTTTCCACGCTAGTGATTCTTATTATTCAAATATTAATTTCTATTCTAGTCGTCGGGCGTGCCCCACTATTTCCGTAGCAAATGACCCAATATGATTGGGTGCGTGCCAGCAGAAGCGAGCAGCTTTTATTTGCTTATGTTCAGCAAGAAGCTCATTATTTATCATAGCGGCGATGCTGGGCAAGTTTTATGTTTGGTGTAAGGCAGTGCCAAGTGCAGCGCAATATCGAGCGGCGATGTTTCGACAGATGCGCAGGTGCTGCAGTTACTAATTTGGTAAGAATGTTTGTCTCGAATGCATTGCTATGAGAAGATAATGATTGTCGTTGTATATTTTCCTGTTTGAGGTATGGGAAAAATATATACATATTTAAAGATCGTATTTGTAATACAGAGTCTAAAGAAGAACAAATGCATTGTTATTTGATCTAAAAAAATTATTCTCTTATTCTGTTAAAAAAATTATTCTGTTCTGTTCTGCGTAATTTTTTTATATTATAGTATTTGAGTGGACTAGGAAAAACTTTTAATTAATTACACATGCACCCACCGGTTTAAAAAGGCAATCGCAAACTTATTGATTTTTTCCTGTTTCTCATCCTAATAAATAAATCTGATTGGGTAGTGTTCTCCAGTGATCTAATTAAGCAAGCGAACCTATGTTAAAACTCGCTGCAAGTCTAATTATACTCAAGTTATTTGTCAATTTATCTCAAGTCTGGGTGAATGAATGTTCGAAAAGTTTGAAAGGAAAGTAAACTATTTTACAACATATTTAATTCTGGGTATTTTTTCTGCTGAACAAGAGTCGGTGACCGCAAAGTATGCGTGGGCAGCTGCTGCAGTAGGCGGCCGTGTGGGCAACAAGACGTGCCTTGCAACGCCTCTGCCCTGACTCGGTGCGCTGCTATAAACGCTTGCCGCTCATATCGTACATATATATCTCTTGTTATGAAATAAATAATGTTCCATTCGACCAAGAAACTTGAAATATTGTGCTAGTTAAATTACTTCCCTTAAAGAATTAATGTTTCAAATTATTTTTCATGTGAACCGGGCCGGGTGTTGCTGGAACAGGGCACTGAAAAATTTCTGAAATTGGAAAGAAACTGTTTCCCTTTCTCGTTCAACGCTACCTGGAGCTTGGAAGATCTGCTATTTACTTTTAGTATGAATATTCTCGCTCATCAAACTCATTCTAAAGCTATTCAATGGACAATGAGTAAAATAGGGCAACGGCAACTTTAGCAGAGGTCCAAACTTGAAAATTATATTTTGCATAATGTAATTGCATGGTTACTTTACGAATTAACAATTAAACTGTTTTTTATGAAACAGAAAACAGTATATATATGGACATTTTAACACCATAAGGTAATGTTTCCTAAATATTTTAGTTCTATTACTTGTACTGCTATAATCTTTTCTGTTGTGATATTGAGCACCAATTTATTGCAAAATATTTTTCGTGAAATTTTAGTAACGCCATGGGGATTTGTGGTCGAACTGAGAGTCAACGTTCGGGCAGGGGACAAAATTTCTTGTCAATGCGCTTGGATGTGGAAGTAATATAGCTCAAGTCAAATAATACGAGTATGAGAATCAAGAGACACCCTTGGCCTTCCTACACACATGAAACTTCAGGTAGCTTCTCACAGGGGAGGAGAGAAGGGCTTCTGACAACGGGAGCGCAGCTGTGCACCACCAATTTTGTGCACCAATAAGCCCTGAATCGAACGCCTTGGATCTATCCTGACCTACATCAATCAGTCGTGCACCACTCGGCTTTGTCCTCTTCCGGCCTTGACCACCACCTGCCGTGCACCACCAGGCCGGGGATCGAATATGACTTCCTGGCATCGTTAAATTACGTAATTCTACGTTCATTGCATCTGAGGTTAGGTTTCAGATAGCATAGTTCTGTTCCAAAATTTATCGTCGTTCGACAAGTGGCCGTTCGACCGAGGGCTGGTTTGACCCGTGGCCTAGATACGGACGGCTTGAAGTGTTGAAGGCTACGTTCCGGAAGGCAGGAATCATGATGATCCATTACATCCAGGGCAGTGGTGGTCTTCGGCAGGCGACCCCTGACAACTTGTGTATACAATCAACGGTTAGCGATTGCGGTCAGCGTCGTCGGATGGCGGATCAGAATTTAAATTCTTATGAAATCTACCCGTTTATACTTTTCCCTATTCTTGATTGAAGATTCGGGTAATTGTGAACACTTTTGAATTAATTAATTTTACATTTTCGGACCTATAGAATACTGTGGATGAAGTCGATTCCAAGTTCATTAAATTTTATATCCGCGTGTAAACCGTTGATGATATTCTCAAAGCGAAGCTTCTTTTTGGTGACAGATTCGCATAACAATGGCATGCAAACGAGCGAATTTCGTTGCGTGAATGAAGTGCAAGGAAGTGTTGGTGTACATTGTAACAGCTGCTGCACGTAGCTCGCCCTTGTAGTGCCTGCGTGGCCTCGACGCTCCCAGTCATCCTCTTAAACATCTGTCGCCTCTGAGACGCATGGATCTTAGCGAGACGAGCAAAGCTATGGCATCAAAGTATAATAATGAATTGATAAGAAAAAAATTATAAGGGGTCAAAGTCAATGCTTCATTGCATTCGTGTTCGGGTTATAGAATGAATAAAATACGGAACTCCGCGGTGAATGTTTTGGACGAAAGCCCCAGCACCGCGCCTATGTGCATAGTGAATCAGGCAGATGAATGCTCACTTATCGTTAACTCTGCAGTGAATCATGTGGATGAATGCATACGTATCGGAACTACGCAGTGAATGATGTGGATGAATGCTTATGCGCCGAAACGAATGGAAGAGCAAATGAAAGATATATGAAAAATTTTGAATAAGATCATTGCAAGCAATGAAAGAAATTTTAGTATTCTGGAAAATTATTTCCAATGAACTAGAATGTGTATTTAAAAAGTAGAATGTGTAATAAAATAACTGTTTCTTCCCTTAAGTCACCGAATTTTGTCTGATATTCTTCCTAAAAATTTTCAACCGAAGTTTAAAATGTTTATTGAGCCATAAATATCAGTATCCCTATTGATTATTTTTGGTTTTTGATTTCTTTGTACAGTTTCGATGTAAGTGTGATGGGTTTTAAATCTTAAAATCTTTTTAAATCTTTAAATCTTTTTAATCTTAATCTTTTAAGGGTCTTAATTTTTAATGGTTTAAGCAAGTTTCATAGCCTGAGATCGTGGTATTCCTTATTTGCTGATAAGATAGCGTCACTTCCTGTTCCGTAAGTGCGTTTTGTAAGGGCAGCGGCGACATTATTACTTGCCGAGCGAGCGACCTCCTTGCCTGGCATCGTCCAGCTCTGTTGTCCACTTCCGCTGTCTCGGACGCCGTCCAAGGACGCGTGCGCGGAACCGATGTCCCGACAGATGGCATTAATAATGTGCCTTTCCACTACGTAACTTCTCTTATATATTCCGGATAGAATTCAGTGGTTCCCAAAATGGGCGATATCGCCCCCCTGGGGGCAGTGGAAAGATCTTTGGGGGCCTCTGGAAAGATCTGTGTTTAACCTTTCTCTTTCAAAATTACAGCATACTAAATATCAAGAAAGAGGCGTTTGTTTTTATATGTGTCTGTCAGCGGAGGGCGCTAGAGATTCATTGGGGAGCCAAGGGGGGCGCCTGCTTGAAAAAGTTTGGGAACCACTGGCCGACAGATGGCAGTAAAGTACGAAACGAAACCGTGGCAGTAACGCTTGCATCGGTTTCCCGGAAAAAGCAGTTTAGAAGCAAGGTATGAATGTCTCACGCAACTGATGCGAATCACGGAAGCTTTGAGTTTAGCCTCCGGTGATCACTGTGAGGAGCAGTTGATAAGAAAGTGCATTTCTAGCTTGCAATATGCCCCTAGCAAACAAATTTCATCAGTTCATTCACTCAGATGAATTAGGGGGTGAATGTGAGAGCGCCTCCGGGTAGTGACTAGTGATAAGGGAAACTATAGTGATAGCAAAATACTGCTTGTACACCTGCGCGTGTTAGTTTGTGAGATAATTAAAATAATAAGCGTGTTAGTGCGTGGGTGAGATAGTATTAGGTTTGCATTGTTACAGCATTAAATGTAGCATCAGACAACCCTGGATTTTAGCACCTCTCAAGATGACAAATTCAACTCGTTACGCCATCATGCAATCTGACCATCCCTGAAGAGATGGCTGATATTTTTCACTAAACCGTAGATTCGGTAAAAAATTAATTTTATCATTGCAGTATTTATTTATTTGTCTATATATTTGACTTTTAGCGTGAATTAAAGTAACTTTCATAGTATACAATCACCTTGCATTCCATTTCTTATTCTAATCTAAAGTCACCGAATGCTCGAACTTTTAACATTTAATTATAATATAATTCAGTGCAAATATATATATTACTAAAATATTTATATAAAATATACAAATATATTCTTTATAAAAATATATAAAAATACATAACCAATGATGACCTATGACGTCACTTGCTGCTCATTAAATGAAATTTCTTAATCCATAAAATGAGCATCCATCGATCAGGTCTCCCACAGAGCCGCGTCAGGAGAGCTTGTTGCTCGTGCACCTCAATATGGCTTGAGCGCTCAACTAACGGGTGATTTATTACGAGTTTATAAAAGCTTTTAGCTTATTTTTTAGCTTATTTTTTTAGCTAAAAGCTTATTTTTTATTTAGGTTTAGCCTACATTATAAAAGCTTTTAGCTTTTTACGATTACAATGTAGGAGTGTTCGGTGTCTCAACGATGGAACTCTATCTGAGATTTAATTTATAGTGTGTACTTTGCTATGTTTCGCTTATTTCCATGCAATGAATATATTTATTTATTATATATATCATCGAACACTTCATAAGTTAAAAGAAAATATGAGTGCATTACCTTCACTTTATTATAAGACTGCTTTTTCAGGGAATTTATAAGTTTTATTCATTTTTAATTCCAGCGCAAAAATAGTTGTATAGAAGAAAACACAAAACAGTTCCTATCATGGATTATTTAACTGGCATACGCTGTCGTATAATCACTTTCAAATTCAACTTATATATGCTACCGATATTCAGAAGCTAAGAAAGTTTTAAATAATTTTTTTCTTCTAAAAACATATGAAGTTCTCGTAAAAATTTTCTAGAAGCCATATAATTATATACCTGGTTTATTATTATGGGAATTTGAATGCTTCACTAATAGAATTAAGATCGTTTGTCTCGATCATTCTGTATTATGGTATCGATATATGAGTACCTAATATATTTTGGGAGAAAGCTATGCACTTATTTGGTTATTTAAATAATTTTTAAAAAATTTAACTGACCAAAATTATGAAAAAATTACATAAAATTGCATATGTTTACTTTTTTAATGGCAATCTTGTGGCTGTTGAAAATAACTATCTATTGAGGGAGATGTTGTATAGATTATAAGATATTCATGAGTTTAATTTAATTTCATATATGTGATGGTAAAATCTGATCATTGCTGTGCGATTTTGGGCTTTAATATACAAAGTTGTCTCACCGAACTGGGCAGGCGTACGGTCCTAAATTCCACGGCACTTCACTCCGGCAAAAATCCTCGAGCTGCACTAGCGAAAGGAACCACAAGACGAAGCTTATATACCGAGCCACGACTCCACCCCCACGCATCTTCCCCCCGCCTCCCTCCCTCCCTCGTGTCAACATTTCATCGAGTCCACAGAGTTCTATCAGTTCCTCTTAAGTCCTTAATTCTGATATTATGTCCCATTAGTCAGAGTTAGGGCTGAAGAGTGGCGACCTAGCTGGCTTTTGCTATGGACGCCGGCCATCCGCTTACATTATAGGATTGTGCCTCCATCACTTCATGACGACAGTTCATTTCTTGGCTTCTTCATCCTAACTCAACCCGCTAATGTTGCTCAGTATGGGCATTTACTGGACAGCACTGTCCTCTTGTTTGTGATAATTAAAATGATAAGTTTATTAATAACTTTCCAGCAATCATTTTTAATCGATTTTTTTGACGCATTCATAATCCAGACAGCGATTATTTTTCCAACTATATTATATATTATTTGTAAATTATATTTGTATTTATAATTTCATTAAATCTTTGTCAGGGATATTCATAAAGACTACACGTAACTTTTCTGGCAGAGGCAATATCACGGATACGATGTTAAATTCCTTTAGTGAATTAAAATAAATAATACCTTATGTTTCCTCGCATGCAAGTTCGCTCATAATCCTCTGAAACTCTCTCGAAAATACACAACAGATCGAGTTACATTCTTCATGAACACAACTTTCAATTCACCAAATAATTATCATATCTTTGCAACTTACTTCTTTAAATTTTTTTTTTCTAAAAGGCCTCCCACACTCACCATTCCAACAAAAAAAAAATTTTAATGGCAATCTTGTGGCTGTTGAAAATAACTATCTATTGAGGGAGATGTTAAGATTCTGAGATCTTCATGGGTTGAATTTCTCTTGGGTTTAAATGACCCGCTGTTCAAGCTAATGCTACCGGCAACTACAGAAATCTTGAACCCAGGCACTTCGCAACCTCCATGCCTGAGCCACGGTCGTGCTTTGCACACATAAACGCCACCTCCTTATTTGGTTGCACTTTAAGTTACCAGCTTAGTTTATTGGCTCTGTTAATTGGTTGGTAACACCGAGAATTGCGGCGCCAAGTCTGAAGCGACGTGACGTCATGAGAACGTCGCGCCTTGCGTCACCGCCGGCCACTCACAAGCTCCGAACAGCGCAGGCGTCTCAGGTGCAACTACCCCAGTAAAAATTTACGGACGCGGCAGCTTCTGATTTGGTTCATGAAGACGTCGCGCCTTGCGTCACCGCCGGCCACTCGCAAGCTCCGAACAGCGCAGGCGTCTCAGGTGCAACTACCCCAGTAAAAATTTACGGACGCGGCAGCTTCTGATTTGGTATACCAGAAGCTGGGGCGACTCTAAATTTTGTTGCCCAGTAAAAATTTACGGACGCCCCAGCTTCTGATTTGGATTACCAGAAGCTGGGGCGACTCTAAATTTTGTTCGGGACGACAAGAATATTAATAATAATACATGCTTGTGTGCATGATATTAACGTTTATTAGAGAGCCTAAAATTAATTAAGTTAATTTTAAATTAATATTAGGCACAATTGATATAAAATATATTATTATTAATAACCTGATTGTATATTAAAGTCTTTTAATGCTAATTTTTAATATTATTATATAAAACTAGTAACTTTTTTTAATTTGCATAATAATGGCGTACATATCTGCATAAGTTTGACATACATAAATGCGTGCATTAAATCGGCATTCGTATACATGCGGGCATAACATAGACATTCATAAACTCGGACCTANTCGGACCAAATAATCACTCGCATTTTCCATGCATACATCTAGAAGGTCATACGTTACTGAGATGCTGGCACGGATATGAAAGTGACATAGATATTTCAATTAACAATTTTATGTTGATCTGTCAATGCTCTGATACATATCTACATGTGCCTTTAATTAGACAAATTTTACAGTTCATTATAAATATAACGGTCAACGCATATTATCTGGCTGTGGTGTTCTTGGCAAATATGTTATTGACGTTCAATGGATAAATGTTAGCTCATTAGGTGGTGACGCTTGTCCGTGATGATGGTGGTGAAGTCTCAATGTTGATTGGTTGTCCACCTCGGTTTGAAAAAATTCTTCCAATTAATTTGAGAAATATATAAATAAAATTTTCCCTGCTTCCACTGCACTGAAGTTCATGTCTACAAGTATCGTACATAACATTAAGGATATTCTAACACAGGTTTCCAAGAAGCTACATCATTTATTATTGCATGCAATGAAACGATAAAAAACGCATTGCGAACCTCCTTGGTGGACAACAAAAGCATTGCTGCGTCTTGTAGTTTGTTTGACTTCCAAAAATGGGAGACTTGCTCATGCAACTTGCCCTCTCCCACGCTGCAATCGCGGCTGTCAGATAGGGAGGAGTGTTCAAAAATTATACGTTCGTTCGCAATCAAAACCTGAGTAAAAATGTACCTTGGCTTGCAATGAGGCGTCTTTGTTTTTGCCCTCTAATCAGACACATTTAGATCGCCATATCAAAACTTGTATAAATTTTGTTAACAATAAATGTTAACGTTCTTACGAAGGTGCTGCGTGGTTATAAAGTCAATTTCCCCCGATAGCGGCTGAATCATTGTTGTATTTTCATTGCTTCCTCGCTTTATGTTGCTAATTTTTCACCATCTTGTGTACGAAACTTCCCACGTAAATTGATAGCACTTGAATCACCTACACCATATGCCAGCTAGATTTTGCGCGCAATACTGTTTATTTCTTTACATGAATGAAAAATATTACAAACTATAGAGCGCATTTTGATAAATTAATCTCTACGAACTGACCTCTTATAAATTTTCAGCTTTGTATTCCAAAACTTAGAGTATAAGTAATATGAAATTTGTATTATTATTTAACAATAGTTATCTGAAATTAGGCAGCAAATTCAGTTCCCTCTGCGAGGTTTTGTAATTAACTGAAAATTTTTTGGAATATTATATGAGGAGCATTTAATACAAACTATCATCTCCAGTCCTTTACGTTCCTTCCCATATAAATCGGTTAAACAAATATGCGGTTCAAGGAACATGTACCTGTGAGAATGTTGGATTATCTTGATGATCTCTAATGCGCTTACGTAAATGACACGTATGACATACGAGACTAAGTTTCCGATTAGACAGTATGGTGCAGCCATAACACCATTGAGGTGTTGCTGATGTTACAGATGTGACAGTACGATGCTGTCTGTGCATCATTGATGTGTTACTGATGTTACAGACAATATGATGCTGTCTGTGCATCATTGAGGTGTCACTGATGTTACAAATGAGACAGTGCGGTGCACTCATTGCATCTTTGATGTGTTACTGATGTTACAAATGAGACAGTGCGGTGCACTCATTGCATCNTGAGACAGTACGGTGCACTCAGTGCATCTTTGATGTGTTACTGATGTTACAAATGAGACAGTACGGTGCACTCAGTGCATCTTTGATGTGTTACTGATGTTACAAATTAGACAGTACGGCGCAGCCCTTAATTACGTCGCTGAAGCGTTATGATGTCATAGATGTAACAGTACGATGCCGTCTGTACATTATTTAAGTGTCACTGATGTCACAGATGTTGAAAATGAACAGGTGTGTGGGAGAGAACATGTGGACCTTTGCCAAGGCTATAGACACATCTGGGTGCTTGCAGCTTGGTGCTTAGATTTAGCTGTACATCGGAAGATTGATATCAGACGATCACTTCTAACTTTGCGTAATTAATAACAATGCCAGTTTCAGATGGAATAGATTTAGTGGTATGATGATGATGTAGAAAACCAAATTATCGTTCGCGGGAAAAATGATGTTTTCTGGAAACAAATTTTCTTGCATTCAGCTTCTCCAGACTACTTCACTATCTGCGATGTAATCTGATATGTTCTGATCGTAATAAATTGCTCGAAATTTTTCATTATGATTCCCCTAAAATTGGGCAAACGAGCGTTGTCTAAATTTCGTTATAATCAAGCAGTGAACCATAGAATTTCGTTCATCTTCAATAAAGATTTCAATCCAGGTTTATGAATGACTCGATCATGATGATTACAATCGGTCCAAATAGTTAGTTGAACAAGAGATTCACATAGATGGTTGGTTGCTAATTAAGATTTCATGTAATTATCTCTCCTCATTAATGCGTTTGTGTTTGACAATAATTAATTATAAACACATCTTGAAACGCGTCAGGGTACTTCATGATGCACCTAACGCTGCATAAAGATGCACCATGACATCGAAATCGTCGCCTTAGTTGAACTGTTGTATCCATACTCTTTATACGAGGGTGCCCTGGGCCGGAAACACAGTGTGTGAGGGCGCCTTACTTTATACGAGGGGGTCTTTTATCTTTGCACCTGCAAAGATAATAGATTCTGGTGCTATAGACTAGACGGTTACAGTTAAAATTTACAAATTTATTTATGTATTTGCCGGGAAAGGTTGCTCTAGGTTAGTTCCTAAAGTGTGAAAGCTATATATCATCCGAATTCCTGAGGACTAATGGCATCGAATTGAAATGGTTGATGCCCAATTTTTTTTCGGCGCGTCTGGAAACGTTCCAGTCGCTGGGAACTGCCCAGCTAGAGTCCTTGCCAGCATCTTGGCTGACGTCCTCCGCAGGCTTCAATTCTACTCGCGGCGCCCACGCCTTCCCACGTCGGTGAATTGTCGGCGGTCGAAGACATCTGGCCAGCTCCAGTGGGCCGCATTTACGCAGGCAGCGAGTCCGTAAGATGTCATCGCATCAATGATAAAAGTTTGCATCCTGTTAAAAAAATCGTTTTATGCCAGTAGAAATTTCATTGTGGAGGAGGAGTCGATTTTTTTAATGGCAGAAAAATTGGAGGCAAAATAATGTTGCTAATAATTATTAGTTTAATATTAATATCGCTGTGAACGAAAAATATCGCTTTAATTGGTGAGTTAGTGTAATTTTCCCCCGCAAATATTATTAGATTAA